CTCCGACAGACGCCCGGCCCGGCCAATACCTGTGTGAGCCCGCAGATGACCTTGTTTGGGCTTTGAGATTTTTTTGTGTCACTCCTAAATTTGGAGACAGATAGGTGTTTATGAACAGAGCCCTCGGTGGGAAGTCTTTCTGTGATTTTGGTATGTCCTCAAGCTTCTTTGAAGATAAATACATCTCATTATATAAAATCTTGGAGAGGGCTAAGGCTTCAGAGACGTAGGTGTGAGTTCCAGCATTGTGCCAATAACTGGCTGGCCCTGCATTCATCCATTCATCCAACAAACATTTATTGAGCACCTACTGTGTGCCTAACACTGTGCTAGTTACTATAGGGGACGCTGAGATGAATATGTGGCTCGCGCCCTTGAGAAGTTCCTAGTCCAGCTGGGACCTGGGCAAGGAGACAGGACAATAGCTGTGTGGGGTAAGGGCTGTAAGGGGATGCACAGTGGGGTGGTCAAGAAAGGCCTACCTGGAGGAGCTGCTTGGTAGCTAGGGGGAGAGGGAAGAGCAAGTACCAAGGTCAGAGACAAGGTACATGCTGCAAGGCCACTCTGGGAGCCGCGGCAGTTCCAGATGGCTGGAACGCGGCCTGCCAGGACAGAGGGCTGGGACATAAAGATTGAGGGTAAGCAGGGTTGGGCAAAAGTCTTGGAGGAGACAGTCATTGTCTTCCTTGTTTTTGATTGTGCTTCTGGCGGGCTGTGAGGGACGGACTGGAGAATCCTGAGATGGTGAGCAGGAAGTCAAAGCTGTTGGAAGCTGTTGCAGCCAGGAAGGAAGAGGGGGAGCTGAGACTGCCAGGGAATGGGAGCTGGGCTGCTGGGGGAGACATTAGGTCGACCAGAGCTGTCCAGACCAGGTGAGCGGGAGGGAACAGTCAAGCGCGCCCCCCCCCACCCGGGGCCCTGCTTCACTAGCAGTGGGTGCCCTTCACCACACCCAGATCAAGGCAGAAGACATGCATGGAGCTTTGAGGTTGTTGAGTTAAGGAGTATCAAGCAGAGATGTATGGTACCTGTGTGAGTCTGGGGCTCCAGAGAGAGGGCGGGGCTACAGGATACATTTTAGGAGCCACCATTTTGTCCATAATAATGGAAGCATTGATCTCTCACAGGGAGAATGGGGAGCGAGACAAAGGCTTTGGACAGAAACTCAGAGGAACGAAGCATAAGAATAGAGCTCAGAATGAGGGAGGCAGTGGTCAGAGTTGAGTTTTGAAAAGATCGCTATGACTAAAGAGTACACGATTAAATGAAGAGGAAGAAGCCTCAGACCTGGAACAGCCATCCAGGTGGAAGAGCAGAATCCACAAGAAGAGAGGGGCCCCCCCATAGCGTTCCCACGGGGCTTTGTGGAAGTTAAAAGCACAGTATCCAAACCAGAGACATGATCGTCCTCCCATAGAGAATGTCTTCTCTTTGAAGAGCAGACATGACAACTGGACTTCTCTTGTTTTAAAACATTTTGAATTAAGTGCCAAAGCTTATTTATTTATTTTAGAGAGAGATTGAGAGTGCGTGAAGCAGGGGGAGGGGCAGGGAGAGAGGAAGAGAGAGAATCTTTTTTTTTTGAAGATTTTATTTATTTATTTGAGAGAGAGAGGGAGCATGAGAGGGGGGAGGGTCAGAGGGAGAAGCAGACTCCACTGAGCAGGGAGCCCGATGCAGGACTCGATCCCGGGACTCCAGGATCATGAACTGAGCCGAAGGCAGTCACTTAACCAACTGAGCCACCCAGGCGCCCCAAAGAGAGAGAATCTTAAGCAGGCTCTACGCCCAGTGCAAAGCCTGCCACAGGACTCGGTCCCCTAACATTCATTTTTATATACATACTTTGTGTTGGTTTTAGGTGTACAACACAGTGACTTGGTGTATATATATATATATATTGGAAAATGATTACCACAATAAGTTTAGTTAACATCCATCACTGACTGAATCACTACAATTTTTTTTCTTGTGATCAGAACTTTTAAGACTTGGGGCACCTGGGTGGCTCAGTTGGTTAAGCAGCAGACTTTTTTTTTTAAAAGATTTTATTTATTTGACAGAGAGAGCGAGAGAGGGAATGCAAGCAGGGGGAGTGGGAGAGGGAGAAGCAGGCTTCCTGCGGAGCATGGAGCCCTATGTGGGGCTCGATCCCAGGACCCTGGGATCATGACCTGAGTCTAAGGCAGACGCTTAACGACTGAGCCACCCAGGCGCCCCTAAGCAGCAGACTCTTGATTTGAGCTCAGGTCATGATCTTGGGATCATGGGATTGAGCCCCAAGGAGGGTCAGCTCTGCGCTCAGTGGGGAGTCTGCTTGAGATTCTCTCTCCCTCTCCCTCTGCCCCTCCCCCCACCCTTTCATGTGCTCATGCGCTCTCTCTCTCTAAAATAAATTTTAAAATCTTTTAAAAAAAGATCTTTTAAGGGGCGCCTGGGTGGCTCAGTCGTTAAGCGTCTGCCTTCGGCTCAGGTCATGATCCCAGGGTCCTGGGATCGAGCCCCGCTGCTTCTCCCTCTCCCACTCCCCCCTGCTTGTGTTCCTGCTCTCCCTATCTCTCTGTCAAATAAATAAATAAAAAAGAATAAAAAAAGAACTTTTAAGACTTTCTCTCTTAGCAACTTTCATATATAAAAACGATATTAACTGTAGTCACCTTGCAGTACATTACATCCCCAGGACTTTTTTTTTTTTAATTGGAGTATAGTTAACACCCAATTATACATTAGCTTCAGATGAACAGACCTATTTATCTTATAACTGGAAGTTTATACCTTTTGACCACCTTTACCCTTTTCACCCAAGTTACCATCATTTAAAATTCAGAAGATTCCACATGAAATTCTGATTTCTGACTTTTCTTGGAAAAAATCATAAGCTTTCACAACAGTAATCCTGCTACTTATTTATTTATTTTTTTAGAGCCAGCTGGTGGGGGGAGGGGCAAAGGGAGAGGGAGAATCTCAAGCAACCTGACACAGGGCTCTATCTCACAATCCTGACGTCATGACCTGAGCCAAAATCAAGAGTCAGATGCTTAACTGACTGAGCCACCCAGGCACCCCGGTCGTCCTACAGTTTTGCCCAGCAACACGGCAAGAGAAGAAGTAGCCACTGCTCTCTTTCAGTGGGGCCCTCATTCTTCATTTTGGCACTGTCACCACCATCCCCTCCTGCCTCCCTGACACTTAGTCGCCACTCACTATCCTGCTGATCTAGTGTTTCCTTACACTCTGCCTGCTCCACTCATTTCCATCACCTGTTATCACGTGCGAATTCTCTAGAAGTTTCAGGCATACAGGCCTCTTCATATGAGGGATTGGCCAAAGTGTCCCTATGAAATGATACTCCCACGTATCTGTTTATTTTTTTGTGCACATCTCCCAGGGCAGTGCCTTTCAGTCTGAGCTATAGGTTCTTCAGTAGTGTTTAATAATTATATTTGATATATTTTAACAACCGTAGCTTTAGAATATAATTTAAAAAATTCACACATTCACTCCAATGTGTTATCAACCAAATTTTAATTCAACCACAAAATATTGCTTGCGCCAGTAGGTTGCATTGTTTTGATAAGGCCTCAGAAATAATCTTTATTTATCTTTTCAGAAATAATCTTTAGTAATTGCTATCCAACCGATGAATAGCTTGATGGTGCAAGGCTAGTGGCTTAAAAACACCACCATCTGTCTCTAATCTTCCTCAAGTCTTGTCTATGGCCATACCAGCCTGAAGGCAGCCCATCTCGTCTGGTCTCTGAAGCTAATCTTCATCAAGACTTTCTCAGTATTGTCTATTGAAGTAAACAGGCTATTGAAGCTGGTGTACCACTGCAAATGGCCATCACAACTGCCATTTCAAATTAGACATATCAAAAACCAAGAGGGGATGCCTGGGTGGCTCAGTCGGGTGGGCATCTGCCTTCAGCTCAGGTCACAATTCTGGGGTCGTGGGATCAAGCCCTATATAGGGCTCCCCACTGAGTGGGGAGCCTGTTTCTCCCTCTCCCTCTGTCCTTCCCTCCCACTCGTGCTCACTCTCTCTAGTGTTGTCTCTCTCTCTCAGATAAATACATAAAATCTCTAGGAGAAAAAAAAAAAAGGAAAACCAAGAACCTGTTGCTGTGGGGGGGAAGGAGAACTAGACCAGTGGAAGGCAAGAATTGGAAGCTCTTTTTTCCTATGAAACACTTTCACTGTCTATCATTTTTAAAAAAGATTTTATTTGTTTGTTGTTTGTTTGTTTGTTTGAGAGAGAGAAAGGGAGAACACAAGCCAGGGAGAGAAGCAGAGGGAGAGGGAGAAGCCAACTCCCCGCTGAGCAGGGAGTGGTGGGGCTGATCGCTGGACGCTGGGATCATGACCTGAGCCGCAGATGCATAACCGATTGAGCCACCCAGGCGCCCCTCACTGTATATCTTTTTGCACTTCTTTTAAACAACATACAGCATTAATTATTACAAATGTAAAACAAAAATTCTCATTGTTCAATTTTATTATAAACCAGTGATTACTTAGGGATTCCTTATGACAATAAAACATTTCTGTGAGGATTTCTTCTGAGATGGGTTCTGCTTTTTTAAAAACTTTGAAACTTACTTTTCTAAGAAAACGCTCTTTGCCTTACCCCTACCCCCGAAGGTTTGGCTGGCGGGCGCGCGGGGAATGGTACAGAGAGACCGCCGAAGCAGCAGGTGGCGCTGCGAGCACCACGAGCACCTGCCCGCAACACCCTTTCTCTGAGCAATGGCGGGTGATAATGGGGGCCTCCCTCTGGGGGTGGCTATTCTGAAGCCTGATCGCAGGTGCCCAGTAGGGTCCGCATCCCAGCGGGAACGCTGAACCTCGAGGAGGGTCAGAGAAAACATGGGCCGTGCACCCTTCCGCGGGGGCCAGGGTGCCGGTGGCGGCGCAGAAAGCCGCAGGCCGTGGGGCGAATTCGCGCCGAGCGGCAGGCGGGGCGGCGGGCAGCCCCGGGGCGGGCGGGGTCCTGGAAGAGGAGCGAGCCGGCGGCCTGAGGAGGCTACTGACTGAGCACCGCACCGGGGGAGCGAGGAGGCGCGGCGGAGCGGACGGGCCCGGAGGTGACAGATACACGGCGCGGCCGGGACGGCGAGCGAGCGGGCGGGCGCGTGCGGGACGCAGCCATGATCACTTCAGCTGGTGAGTGCGATCGCTGCCGGCGCCTAAAGGGAGGAGCCGCCACGCCGGCTTTTAGCTGAGTCAGGGCCGGTGACTGGGCACCTCCCGGCGGAGCGCCGGCCTGCGCGGCCCCTCGCTGCCCACGGCCCACCCCCGGCCCGGGGACTGGCAGTGTGGTCCGGCCTCTCTGAGGGCCCGGCGAAGACCTCGGGCTCGGGGGAATCGCGCCGGGTCGACCGCCTGGGCATCCCTCGCAGTCACACCCCCGTGCCCGGACCCGAGGGGCTTCTTGGGGCTTCCTCAGTCTGTGCCTCCAGAAGTTGGCCCTGTGGGACCGTCTGACCCCAGCGCTTCCTCGCAGGTGGTTAGGAGGGGATGGAGCCCCTGTGCGGTCGGCCGGTAAGGCAGCCTAACTACTGCAGAAGTGCTCTGGACCTGGCCCCAGCTCCATTCCCCTTGGAGTCAAATCTGAAATTACATTAGAGGCGGGTTGTTTCCGGGGCTCTTCCAAGAGTATTCAGTGCAAGCGCCCAGAGAACGTTTGTGTTCGGTGAAGACAGCCCCCGGAGACTGCACTACACTGATGATCTGTCTGTGGTTTGGAGGCTGGGTGCTCCGTACATACTCTGCCTTGAAGAGTATGCGGTGTGCGGAGCGGGTTTCATACACGTACCCACTGCGTATGTGGATTCGGGGAATGACATTTGAAACGGGCTAAGCGGTAAAGATCCAGTGGAGATTTTTTAAGCCCCCCCCAATCCCCCGCTGCAGATTGATTTGCATATAGCTGTCCACAGCCTTGGTGTTTTTTGCTTGCCCGCGCACACACCCTTTTCTCGTCCTGTTTTATCTACGTTTGTCCCACAAGTATTTTGTTGTAAACAGACTGGTGCTCACACTAACTTGTAAGGAGCTCAGACCCATACATTTGTGAGGATTGCTGCGAGGAAGTGAGGGAGACCGTAGAGACATAAACGCTGTTTTCAAAGACTTCAAGAGCTGTCACCTGTACCTGGAATTAGACTTTTGTCCCCAAGGGATACAAATGAGATGAATTTTAGCTCAAATAGGAAAGAGTTTTTCCAGTCACAGCTCTCTAAAGGTAAAATAAGCATGAAGTTTCTTGCCAGGTGTAAATGTAGGCCTCATTCCGTTTCACATCCCTTCATTGCCTCAGCTTATTAGCCCAGACCACCTTTATCTTTTGCCTGGGTTTCTGTAACAGCCTTAAGGTTTTGTTTTTTCCAGTGTTATCTTCATACAGTCCGTTTTTCTTGTAGTCGGAGTAATTTTTTTCAAACTTTAATGCCTTTTTTGTTGTTGTTGTTGTTGTTGTTGTTGTTGTTGTTGCTTAAAATCTCTTGGGATTTCCATTGTGTTTGGAATAAAATCCAGACTTTTAACCGAAGACTTACATGATTGGATTTGTCTTATACTACTCTCTTCCTCACTCATTACATCCTATTCATACTGGCCTTCTTTTTGTTCCTTGAATATGTCAGTTTCTCTCCTAACCTCAGGACCCTTGCACATTTTGTTCTCTCTTTCTAGACTCTTTTTCCTCAAGTTTTCCCTTAGCTTCTCAATCTTTAGTCCCAGTTCCAATGTTAGTCTTTCCTGATCATTCTTTTAAAATAATGCTGCCTGCCTCTCTTGCCCTTAGCTGTCCCCTCCCTTCATCACAGTCCTGTGATTACTTTGTTTACTTACCTGATTACTGTCTTTCTGGTACAATTTTGGGTGGCCGACTTGTTGTTTTCATAATTCTTAGAGCACTGTCAAGCAGATAGCAGTTCAGAAGTATATTTAGAACGAGGGAATCAACTAATGAAATAATTTAATCCCTAGAGTATTTTAAGGAGAGGCTGAAAAAGCACTTAGTGGGAATATAATAGAATTTAAACCTATTGAGAGTGGCAAAAGTAATGATTTTTGAGGTCCTATTCTGAGACTCTGTGGTGATTTAGTATATTTGTGGTGAGTGTGTATTTGCTACATTTACTGGATTACTTTCCAGCCTTTGCTCAGAAACTTTTGTCACCTTGTTTCCTGTCCTGTGGCTCACAGTGGCTTAGGATCTGTCCCAGGTGCTAAACAGGCTAGCTTCACAGTTTTGGTGTGGATTCATCAGTTAATTCATTCATTTATTCTTTAGTCACTTGCTAGGCATTAAGAACACAGTGGTGAATAAGAGGTGAACACGTACGAACACGTACTGTTAAGTTTTTCAAAAGACTTGTCAGCAAAAGGGAGTGGAGAGAGAGAGATAGGTGGTTGCAGGAGAGAGATGTGAGATTGAGTGGGGTTTTGTGTTTTTGTGTTGTTTTTTTTTTAACGTAATATAGGCAAATGAAGGGAAATTATGCTAAAAAGCTTTAAAGTTGTAACCCCCCTACTCCTCTTTCTTCTTCCTCATCCCTGGAGACAGCCATTTTCAATTTTTAAGCTGTTTCTTCTGGCACATACTTCTGTATTTATAAATAACATCCAAATATTACTATAAACTGATTGAACAAGTTTAGATAATGTCCACTTCCTTTTTTTTATGACAGAAGAGATTTTTCTAGCATCCTAGACTTTTCACATTCCTTATATACTTCCCTCTCCCCCCATCCGAAGGAAAGTTCTGTTTTGTTTTTAAGATGGGAAATAATTGTGTATGGAGTGTAGAGTATTTGATTTAGTTGTGTTCCATGAACAAAGGCTGCATTTCTAAGCCAGGACAACCAGGTAACAAATTAGTCATAAGTGGTAACAAATTAGTCATAAGTAATAACCAAACAGGGGAGTGTAAAAAATTCATCACCTCTTTTGGTAAAAGTAGTTCAGATACACCATTGATTGATGATAGGCAATAGGTAGCATTTTTAGTTAATGTTGATGAAGTGTTCTGCTGTTTATGATCTGTTCCACATTTAAAGCATTCTTGTCTATCAGCTATTCCCTGTTACTAGTTTACCAACCCCCCATTACATTTTTTCATCTGTCTTCTCTGCATTCTGTCAGTTTAGCCTCTCTGTTCTGGACTTGTCATACCAAACTAGAGTACCAAGAAGTTCTTTCTGTCTGCTTTTATGCTTTTAGAATAGTAGTATCTCCTAGCCAACACCATGGTGTAGTTTAGTTGGCTAAATGTTGTATCCTTTCCTGTATGGCTCTTTCTAAAGACTGCTGGAGCTACTTGGCAAACCTACACTTACCAATTAAAAATGGCTACATCTCCCAAGTAAAGTTGTCTTGACACTTTTGAATCAATTCACAGTTTCTTGTTTCTTGTTTCTTTTTTTTAAAAGATTTTATTTATTTATTTGACACAGAGAGAGAGCTCAAGCAGGGGAAGCAGTAGGCAGAGGGAGAGGGAGAAGCAGGCTCCTGCCAAGCAAGGAGCCCAGTGCGGGACTTGATCCCAGGACGGTGGGATCATCACCTGAGCTGAAGGCTGACGCTTAACAGACTGAGCCATGCAGGCGCCCCTCAACTGACAGTGTGAATTCAGTGTTCCAGAATGACTTTTAAGATCTATATGGAAAACATATATATATATATATATATATATATATATATATATATATATATATATGAGACAGTTTAGTTTTCTTTTTTTGTTTGTTTTGTTTCTTTGTGGTCTAAGGACAGTGATTTCCCATATATTTTTTCTAAAAATCCCTTTGGTATATGACTATATTTCAAGGTGTATTCTTTTGGAGAGGATAGTTTCCTTCACTTTCCAGTGTGTGCTAACGCCTCACGGTCATGTGGGAAACACTGTGCTTGGGTTGGTGGAAGTCAGAACAAGTAAGATCGCTCTCATTTAACATACCTTTTAGGTTACTTGTGATATAAAGGAGGTGCCTTAATATAGGCATCTTTTTTTTTTTTTTAAAGATTTTATTTATTTGACAGAGAGAGACACAGCGAGAGAGGGAACACAAGCAGGGGGAGTGGGAGAGGGAGAAGCAGGCTTCCCACGGAGCAGGGAGCCCGATGCGGGGCTCGATCTCAGGACGCCGGGATCATGACCTGAGCTGAAGGCAGACGCTCAACGACTGAGCCACCCAGGCGCCCCTTAATATAGGCATCTTGAAATAATTGATATATTTTACTCTATTGAGTTGATGACTACACCTTTTTTTGTAAGTAATTTTATAACTCTTGGCTTATTTTGTGTGAATAAATTTTTTCTAAAATTGGGAAAATTTTGATCAGTAAACTAGGCCAAAGATTCTCAAACTGTAGTATCAGTATCACAAGGAAAACTTGTGGCCCCATAACTGGACCCCATCCCCACAGTTTCTAATTCAGTAGCTCTACTATGGGGCCAAAAATTTGCATTTTTAACAAGTTCCCAAGTAATGCTAATTCTAAGGGTTCAAGGACTGCACTTTGAAAACCAGTGAATTTGGCAAATGTGATTTTGTGGTGGCATGAGGGTTTGATAACACAACTCTTAAACTTTGAAATATAAACATTTACAATTTTAAAGAATAATCATTCTTCTAGTAAAGTCACTCCTCAAAAAAAATACTTATTTTTTCCAATTGTGATATATTTTGACTAAGCAGTATCTTCTCTCTTAGCAGAAGATTATGGTTCATAATCATGATATACCTTTTGTCTTATAGCTGGAATTATTTCTCTTCTGGATGAGGAAGAACCACAGCTTAAGGTATGAGTTGAAGAAAAATTAACTGGGGTTAATATGCGTGCTGTGAAACTCTGAATTTAGTCACATTTGTGTATTTTCCGTCATTTAAAATAGCCATCTTACCCAGTCTGTACCCATTCAAATATAGCCCCCCCCCCGAAACCGTTTTGGCAATAGCAGGTGGTTTTCCCTACAGCTTAACAAAGCTAAGGTAAATAATTCTCAGTATGGCACCAGAACACTCCCCGCCCACCCTTGTCTCTTTATCAAAGGAAAGCACAAAAAATTGTTTCTTCTGTGTCACATATTTTTAAATTATTTGTATTTGACTAAAATTTGGAACATACCTAAAGTGGCTCTACATACCTGAATTCATTTATATCCGGTAATTAATTGTGTATATACAGAGAAGATGCTCATTATGAGAAGGAGTGAACTATGGTTAGTCTGATGTTTTATGATTAAAAACAGAAAGGAAATCTGTAAACCCAAGAGAAAACATGTCAGTAAATTTTTGTATTTGTCGCAGATTAAAAATTTTAGTAAATATGATTGAGAATTTGGCCATTGATTTGTCAGAAACTTTTTTTTTTTTGTAAAATTTGTAATGGTAAGTCAAAATCAAATTTTATTTTTATCTTCTACAGGAATTTGCACTACACAAGTTGAATGCAGTTGTCAATGACTTCTGGGCAGAAATTTCTGAGTCTGTAGATAAAATGTAAGAAATTATTTTATTTCTATAAATTGTATTAAAGTAGATCAACTAATTCTCTGTGGATGTGGGTCATGTGGCTTTTAATTCAAATAGGAATTTGCTGCTACTAAACATATATAGATTTGGGATTTTTAAGGAAAACCAGTTTGAGCTAGGCTTATACTTCCTAATTTCTTTTAGAGAAGTTTTGTATGAAGATGAAGGTTTCCGGAGTCGGCAGTTTGCGGCCTTAGTGGCATCTAAAGTATTTTATCACCTTGGGGCTTTTGAGGAATCTCTGAATTATGCACTTGGAGCTGGTGACCTCTTCAATGTCAATGACAACTCTGAATACGTGGAGACTATTATAGGTAAGTATTTTCCATCGGTAAAGCTTTATCTTGGCATCTTTCTTGCTGTAGTGCATATGACATTTTTTTTTCTGAATTACTTCTTGCTGTTGCCAAATTTAATTTTAATTGGAAGTTCACAATCCTATAATCGTATGCAAGCTGAGTTTTTAGATCTGCCTTCCAGTTTTGGGATTTATTATTTTTTGACATAATGAACAGTAACATTAGTAACAGTAACAGTGAAGACACTCACCTCACAAAACATTTTATGAATGAATCTAAAAAATTATTCAGAAACAGCCTAATCAACACAAAGGTAGTTATCTTAGGTTATGGTTATTGTTACTCCGATAAGCGTTCTGTTCTATGAAAAAATTAATTATTATGAGTAACGAACTAAATGACAGTAATTTATCGATTTGTTTCTAATACCAGAAACCATTATTGACTATCTCCATTTTGCTAGGCACTGTGTTACTCATTCTTGATGGCGTGGTTTATTCCACAGCTGCTCCATGAGGAAGGTGCTATCCCTGTTTTATGAATGAAAAAACCTCGGGTTTTGAGATGATAGAGACACATGACTATTAAATAGGGTCAGAATTTAAAACTCAGGCTTACTTCAAAATCCATATTGTTTCTACTGGCAACTGTCAATTTTTTATTTATTTTTAAAGTGGGGGATAGCATACTGGCGAAACTTTGGGCTCTCCATCTTGTAAATTAAACTATAACTATGTAAGGTTTTGTTCAAAGATTTGTAGCTTTAAAAAATGTTTGAAAACTCCTCATCTAGTAGATGAAAGAATGGACACAAACCCTCAGACAAGTCTGCAGGAATGTAGTTACAGAGAGCACAAGGGTGTATTCTGTTATAAGGAATTATTTTCCATCTGGTAAAGCTTTTAAGAATGAATCTAAGAAATTATACAGAAACAGCCTAATCAACACAAAGGTAGTTATCTTAGGTTATGGTTATTGTTATTCCGATGAGCATTCTGTTCTCAGTGGTGTGCAATATAGATATTTTTTTAAATTGCTGATTAAGAAGAGGTCTGCATTATTCACCTGAACCCTTAAAAGGAGAACTTTGGTATTCTCTTTCAGAAATTGGGAAGTGCTGCACAAGGTGGTCCAAAGGGATACTTTCAAATATCTCTGATATTCCAACTAGAATTCTGCATTCATGGTTTTAAAGTTTTTGCCATGGAGGTGTGAAAATGGTGCAAGTAACTTACTGCTGTTGGGGGCTCATTGAATTGGAGTTTTCATCTATACATCCTATGGAAAGAACAAGTGGTTTTAAAGAATAGGCCATAACATTTGAAACATGGAACACTTTCTCTATATTGAGTTAGAAATGGGGAGTTAAATACACTTAACCTCTTTTCTCTTATTTCAGGGATTTTTTTTGACAAATACTGATAATTTTTTCAACAATGATGTGCAAGTGCTTGCATTGCTACTATTTTCCAAATCATGTTTTAAACAGAACTGTTGGTCTATAAGGGGCTATGAGATGGTAGATATCTCTCTAAATGCTATGTACCATCTTAGCTTGTAGAAGGCAATTGTTGATAAATAGACCAATTCCGTTTGCTTTTCTTTGTGTGGCAGTGGGGTTCACCCTTCTAGTTTTGTAGGGACTTTTAGGATGGATTGTTTTGGGGGCGCCTGGCTGGTGCAGTCGGTTGAGTGTCCAACTCTTGGTTTTGGCTCAGGTCTTGATCTCAGGGTTGCGGGATCAAGCTGAAGCGCAGAGCCTGCTTGAGAATCTTTCTCCCTCTCCCCCTCCTCCCCCTTCACCTGTGCACGCACTTGCGCACACGCTCTCTCCCAAATAAATAAATAAAATCTTTAAAAAAGAACGGATTGTTTTGAACATCAGTGAAATTTGTGAGGGGATACACAAAATAGAATTTGAGAAGGGCTTCCTAGGATATTAATATTATACATCCAGAAAATTCAAGACTGGTAAATTTTTTCTCTGTTCTAAAAAGACTTCAGCTGGGAATGAGACTAGATTCTGGGACATAGTTATGATATAAACCTGGTAAGTGAAAGCATGAACCTCATTTGAAACCTGGAAGCAAATTTTTTCCCCTTTGGTTACAATTTAAGGAAAATTCCCCAATTGTTACAATTCTGAGGTTCCTTTCTGATAGGGTAGGTGTAATGTTTCCTCACTTAACTACATTTGGTTTAAAAAGCTCATATTAGGGCCTGGTAAAGATTTTCTGCAACCAGAATTGTTTAAGGTCTGCTTTGTGACTGCCACTTTATCCTTATTAACTATATGTAAACTTGCGTAGTTCTTGTGTGAATTTGATATATTCCAATTTATAAAAGGACTGTTTCCCCCAAAATACAGATCCATTTAACTTGAGCCATCCATTGGGCCAGTAATTCTTTATGCTAATTCAAATCATTTGTTTCCCAGGGCTGTAGTTTGCAACTAATTAATCTTGTTCATGTACCCTTTCTTCTCTTTGAGAGGGAGAGTGACAAGTCAGTGAGTTATAGAGAGTATAACTATTTTATGTCATTCACTTGGGTAGCTATTTATCTTCCTTATGAAGGTGGAAGAAGGCTTAGGGAAACTCCCTTTATTGGTTATTTCTGATAAGTTTAAAGTGTGATTGTAAAGTAGTGTGAGTTATAAACAAGCTTAAATATTTCTCAGCAAGTATACTACTGGCCCCCTTAGTATGTTGCCCTGTCCGCCCCATTCAACCAAATCATTGTGTAATGTGAAAGCCAAATCCTGCATGTATATACCACTGCGAGAATTTTAAGGCGGCAGTGGCAGTGGGAGTAGGGAGCTGGGACTGGGGATTGCTTAGATTTCACCCACCTTACTTTGCAACAGCATTTTAGCAGATTTGCTACAGTTGCTGGAAAGGTTTTTGGAAATCTTCTTTAGAATTGCCTTTAGAACCTGTGGCACATTTCAGGCTATTCATCAGTATTTTATGAGGATGATTTAGACATGGCCTCTACTGTCAATGAGCTAATAGTTTCACTAATTTGAAGAAGTCTAATAATTTATTGCTATGTGATAATTTTTACAATAGGTCTTTTTAAATATCCTCAGTAATGGCAAGTATTTGTTTTTGAAAGTGAAACAGTAGCTATTTGTAGCCAACTCTGTCTAATAAGCAATATAGTTGAGTAATATAATTTTGGTCAAAATATAATACAAAGATAGAAAAGTTTTGAATACCGTCAGCCTCATTGGAATTAGTATGTAAGCCCTCCAGTATAACTGTTATGAAGGGAATAGTATTAATTTGAATGTATAACTTCTGGAATTTAAAAGTTTTGAAATTTGCTTCTTACTCTATAGTTATTCCATAAATTTTTTTGATTAAAAAATGTAGGCATTTGTCTTTTCTAGTAGTTTAGCCCTATTTATAAGGTGATTCGTTATTTTATTTTTCTCACAGCAAAATGCATTGATCACTACACCAAACAATGTGTGGAAAATGCAGATTTGCCGGAAGGAGAAAAAAAACCAATTGACCAGAGATTGGAAGGCATTGTAAATAAAATGTTCCAGCGATGTCTAGACGATCACAAGTATAAGCAGGCTATTGGTATTTCTTTGGAGACCCGAAGACTGGATATTTTTGAGAAGACTATACTGGAGTCGGTAGGTAGATGATGTGATTTTAGAGGTGGTTATTGATGCGGAATTGTCAAGGCAGGTCATTAAAACTAAAAACTCTGAGTACTGAAGAGAAAACCTGATTTAGAAATGATAAGGTGCTCTTTTGCCAGATGTTTTATTTTCCTGTTTATATATGAACCTTGGCTGTGTTTTGTGGTCATCAAATACCTGCTTTTATCTTACCACATTCATTCCTTTGAAGTCTTGCATGGGGAAGTTGTTTTAATTATCCTGCCCTTTTTAAGAAGCCTATACTGATAAACTATCTTAATGCATTTAGTATGGCTAAAACTACAGACTAAATTCTTGTTTTTGCGGTGTTTTGCAATAATTATGACAGTTGTAGTAAGCCGGTGTAAGAAAGTGGTCAGGAAGGTGCATGACTGAGTTAAATGGACATTTGACCTTCACGCCCACTTTGCCTGCCTCACCACCTGTCTCCATGAGCTGGCTGTCTGTACTGCAGCCTTGCCTCAGTTCCTAGATGTACCGTGCTCCATTCCCCTTACCAGAAGTATTGCCTCTGCCAAAAATACTCTTTCCTGGGGCACCTGGGTGGCTCAGTCATTAAGCGTCTGCCTTCAGCTCAGGTCATGATCCCGGGGTCCTGGGATCGAGCCCCTAGTTGGGCTTCCTGCTCCATGGGAAGCCTGCTTCTCCCTCTCCCAATCCCCCTGCTTGTGTTCCTGCTCTCGCTATCTCTATGTCAAATAAATAAATAAAATCTTTTAAAAAAAATGCTCTTTCCTTTCTTTACCTGCTTTATTCCTGTTCAAGATTGAGAGTTCAGCTCATCACTTGTTTACAGATACATCGATTTCCAGCCCCATACCCTCCTCTACCCCTACTGCAAAGACTAGGTCCAAATCTTCCGTTACTCTCTCAGAGCCTTATATTTTTTCATAAGGTTTACCACTATAGTAATTAATTGTGTTATTTGGTAGTTAACATCTGTGTTTAGCAGCAGTGATAAGATTTAAATGAATAAATGAATGAGAGACCTAATGTGATAGAATTGAACCTAGTTTTACTTGGTTTCATTTCTGGGCTATTGTAGCCTCTCCTTGTCTTCATGAGAATAGAATTAAAATACTTGCTTTCGGGGCGCCTGGGTGGCTCAGTCGTTAAGCGTCTGCCTTCGGCTCAGGTCATGATCCCAGTGTCCTGGGATCAAGCCCTGCATCAGGCTCCCTGCTCGGTGGGAAGCCTTCTTCTCCCTCTCCCACTCCCCCTGCTTGTGTTCCCTCTCTCGCTGTGTCTCCTTTTGTCAAATAAATAAATAAAATATTAAAAATAAATAAATAAAATACTTGTTTTCATTCACTCAACAAATATTTTTTGAGTGGCTACTCTATGTCAGACATTGTTCTAGGCATTGGAGATGTCGTGGCAAATGACACCAACAAAGCTTCTTCCCAGGTAGAACAATCGCTGGAGGAATAGGCAGTTGAGCAAATAAAAATATAAAGTAAATGGGTGACAAATGTTCAAAAAAAGAACAAAGCAGAGTAAGAAATGCATCTTAGTTTTCATCCCAGAGCATGTGGATATAACTTAAGTTTTATGAAACAGTACCTACTTTTGCTACTTCTGATGTAACTGATATTTTAAAATTATATTTCATCAGAAATGCTGGTCCCATAAAGTTGATTTCACTAATAGGTCACAACTTGTTTTTTGAGAAATACTCCCGTAGCTCTTCAATATGCTTATTTATGTTGAAGGACTTTTATAGGTTGGTATCTCAGATATTGAATACACTTTGGAGAACTGCAAGATATACATAGTCTGGAGTCAAAATTTCCTCAGGAAGAACACCAGCTAGATGTGACAGCGCGCAAAGCTTGAGTCACTCAGAGCTGGAGAAATAGTTCTATCATACTGTGTTCCTGGCTATCAAGTATAGGCAGGACTAGCAAGATTGGAGACAGAAGGATGAAGGACTGCAGTAGTCAGTTTTCAGTTTTATGAAGAACATAGCCATTTGGTATATGGACATTTGCATATATCTTTTTTTAATAATTAACAGCACCATTCTTTTATGGTATTCTGTGTTCACATAGGATTCAGGATGATCATTGAATATTATTTTCAACCCATTTTTTCATGAAAACAGGGAAATAGGTAATTTTCTTTAAGATTTTTATCTAAAATGTTGATTTTTAAGTTCTGTTGTTGAAGTTGCAGATAAATCTTTGGCTGCTTAAAATACCTAAAGAACATAGATTAAAATAATTTGATTTCTAAATAAACGCAGTGCTTCGGTAACCGGATAGGTAATGATGTATCTTGAAATTATCTCTTTCAGAATGATGTCCCAGGAATGCTAGCTTATAGCCTCAAGCTCTGCATGTCTTTAATGCAGAATAAACAGTTTCGGAATAAGGTGCTAAGGGTTCTAGTTAAAATCTACATGAATTTGGAGAAACCCGATTTCATCAATGTTTGTCAGGTACTTATATTACATTGTTATCTTAACGTTACATCACACTACTTTATGCTGCACTGCTGGGCCACGCATTATATTACATTACATTATTGTTACTCTAATGGTTTCATACATGTATCTCAGTTGATCTTCACAACAGCCTGTGTCGATTAAGGTATACGCTTACCTTCTTTTTTACTGGTAAGAAACAATCTTATAAACCTAAAAAACTTTTGTTATAATGCATCCTGTGTATTCTTTCTACATTTTGAAAGTATTCCAAACATTTAAAGAAATTTTGGAAACTAGGTTAAAAAAAAAAAATAAAAGGTAGAAGAAGAGATAAAAAACAGTACATATGTTGTGTCGTTCTAAAAAGAATTTCAGGTGTAAAAATGATCTTTGGTTTTATTACCCAAACAGAACCAAAACATTTGGGTATATTTTATCTCTTTTCATGTGTGAATTTGCTTGCACATTTTAAAAAAATTAAGATGGTCCAGAAAACGCAAAGTGTATCTTTCCCTTTCCCCAGGTCTTTTCTCAAAGATAATGCATAGGTGTTCTTTTTCATTTATTAGCAGGTCTTTTTAATGGCTACATTGTATTTCATTGACTGGAAGTGTATAAGTTTGCTTTTTAACAATTATCATACTGTATAAATTTTTGTATTCTGCTTAGAGCATAGCATTGTATCTCAGGTTTTACTTTTTTCACTGTAATGCGTTCTCATGTATTTTCATCTTCTACACATTTTTAAAATTAAAATTTAGAGTAATGCATCCTTTTTTTAAATGCTTTTTGAAGCAAGTTTGGAACATAGAAAAGGCTGGAAGAAAAATCATTTATATCCCCCAAAGTCAACATTTTAGTTTATTTCTTTTCACTTTTCTCTGTATAGCTTTTTGGAGTTTTGTTTGCTTCTAAATAGTTTTTAATAGGTTTTTTTTTAATTGTTGTGTTTTAAAACTTATATGAAAAACAGTAGTCCTCTGCTCACCTGTGTATTTCAGTTTTATTCCTCAGAGGCAATTTTATTTCTTTTTAGCTGTTTTATTTCTTGTCCCTTCAAAACTTTTTAAAACTTTTACATTTTAAAATATATATTTTATTGAACAGGTAATAGTACATTCTTGTGATTCAAAATTTAAAAAGAACCAAAGGGTATACAGTGAAAAAATTCTTTCCACTCCTTTCCTTTGACTCCTAAGTTCCTTTCTCTGGAGGCAAACAGTATCAGTTATATACGTCCTTCCAATTTTAGCATTTTTCCATGTTCTAAGTCTTCACAAACTCTTGTTCCAACTCTTTCTTAATTGTACGGTAGTCATTTAGTAGATGTACTTTGCCTTACTTAACAATTCCCCTGTTATTGGTCATTTATTTTGTTTTCATTATTTTCTATTCTTAATGTGTAATAATTTTGATTAATGTGTTCATTTTGAAATTAGCTATTTGCTACTTCAAGGAAACAAAATTTAAATTGAATTCTTAAAAAATAAAAATCCTAAATTTATTGGATAGTTTTGTTAAAACATGACAGATCGTAAGAGTGATAAGAGAAATACGTCAAAATGGTCATTTTAGTGCCTTTTATCCTGGCCCAGCATGATACAATGTGTGTTAAATGAATGAATGACTCCTACAATTTATGGTTAAGCAGAAAATTCAAATTAAGGAGGACTTGATAATAAAATACAGATAAGATTTGAAGAAGCCAAGAGTCACTCACCTACCGTTATTGAGTACTAGTAATTGCCAGGCACAATCAAATGCCATTTTCAGGAAAACTTTGTCTAGTGCCAGGATCAGAAATGGAGTGCTAGAACTGGAATTAAAATTTTAAATTAATTTTTTTTTAAAAGAAAGAAATGGAGTGCTAGAACAGTTCATCTGCCCCAGTTTGCCTGTGCTTATATTTTAAGATTTCCTACCTATATTATTAACTGTTTATCGCTAAGTATTTTATAGACACAGTTTTCAATTATTATGTAATTGTTCTTTATCTGCATTTCAGTGCTTAATTTTCTTAGATGATCCTCAGGCTGTGAGTGATATCTTAGAAAAACTGGTAAAGGAAGACAACCTCCTGATGGCTTATCAGATTTGTTTTGATTTGTATGAAAGTGCTAGCCAGCAGTTTTTGTCATCTGTAATCCAGAATCTTCGAACTGTTGGCACCCCTATTGCTTCTGTGCCTGGATCCACCAATACGGGTACTGTTCCAGGATCAGAGAAAGACAGGTATAAGTATCTTTTTCTGCATCAGAACTAATTGAACAATCTTTATTTCATTTTGCAAATAGGTGGAATATTCTCATGGATCACATAGTCTAAGAATTAATTTCATAATTAGCTTTCTCAGTTGTAAAGTCTTAACTAAGGCTATTGCTCTGCTGTTTTGCACTTTGCTGGGCACATTAAAGAATACCAAAGACAGGGACCTTTCTAGAAAGAAATGGAAGTGATTGATAGGGAGGGCCAATTGCATATATGCTGTCTAACCAAGTAAATTAAAATTTTCAGATGGGTGGGGCACCTTGGTGGCTTATTTGGTTAAGCATCTGATTCCTGAACTCAGCTTAGGTCTTGATCTCAGGGTCATGAGTTCAAGCCCCACACTGGGCTCCACACCCAGCGTGGAGCCTCCTTTAAAAAAAAAAAATCTCAGATGGGTTAGGGGGGCTAGATTTTAGATATTTGGAAAGTAAAAAACATTTCTAGCTTTTTGTACTTTTATTAAAACTAAATATATATTTATTTTAGGCTAATACAGTATTAGTTTTTATTTTCCTGGTTTTTCTTAACATATTTAGGCCACTTATTAAAAATATTTAAATGTGTCTTTGTTATGGGGCACCTGGGTGACTCAGTTAAGTGTCCAACTCTTCACTTCAGTTCAGGTCATGATCTCAGAGTCGTGAGATTGAGCCCCTTGTTGGGTTCCATGCTGGGTGTGGAGCCTGCTTAAGATTCTCTCTCTCTCAAAAAAAAAAAAAAAAGTGTTATGCCACCTTTTTCCTTTTAAAGTTGTTTACACAGCAGTGAGAGTTATTTTTCTGAAACCTAAATGTCACCACCCTCTCAGCCTCCAGCACTTTACAAACACATTTCATATAAAATTCTAAGTCTCGAGCATAGCCTGCAAGGTCATACATGATCTGTCCCCTCCATACCCCTCAACTCATCTCTTGCTACTGTCTTCTTTACTTACTGCTTTCAGATTTCACCGACCTTCTAACTTGTCCTAAAAACACCAGAAATAGTCGTGCCTCAGTAAGGTTTTCTTGAATTTTAGTTTTTGTTTTCTTCCCTTTATTTTTCTTTTTGGGGGCCTGTTGTTATATGTAAGTTAGATTTTCTTTGCCCGTCTTCTGTTCTTCTGTATTTCTCACTTTTAATCCTTTTCAGCTCTTCAGTTCTTTCTTTTAATGGAATAATAACGAAAATATTATAAAATGCACATATCGTGATGATACAGTTCAATGAGTTCTGACCAAATAAACACCCATATAACCATCACCTCTGTTATTATCCCAGCAACTTCCTCTCTGCCCTTCGAGGTCAACCCCTTGCCCCTGAGGCAACCACTGGTTTGATTTCTATCAACAGAGATTAGTTTTGCCAGTTCCTGAACTTCATAAAAATGTATCATATAGGGTGTCTGGGTGGCTTAGTTGGTTAAGCGACTGCCTTTGGCTCAGGTCATGATCCTGGAGTCCCAGGATCGAGTCCTGCATCGGGCTCCCTGCTCAGCAGGGAGTCTGCCTCTCCCTCTGACCTCCTTCCCTCTCACGCTCTCTCTCTCTACCATTCTCTCTCTCTCTCTAATAAATAAATTAAAAATCTTTAAAAAAATGTATCATATAGTGTGTATTCTTTTGCTTCTGCTTCTTTTGCTCAACATGTTTGTGATGTATATCGGTTTTTTTGGGTGAATCAGTAACTTACTCCTTTTCATTATTGAGCAGCATTTCATTGTATGAATATACTAGTTTGTTTATTCATTCTTATATTGATGGACATTTGGGTTGTTTCAGAACAGGACTATTAGGAACATTCCTGTACAAGTCTTTTTGTGAACAGATGTTTTCATTTCTCTTGGGTAAATACATAGGATTAGAATAGCTAGGTCACAGAGTATATATGTTTAATTTGGTAGGAATCTGCCAGACTATTTTCCAGTGGTTTACCCTCCCAGCAGAAACGTGTTAGCATTCCATTTGTTTGTTTGCCAACATTAGATGTTATCAGTTTCTTTAATATTACTCATTCTAGTGGTAAAATGTTTTGTTACAATTTTTTTTAAAGATTTATTTGAGAGAGAGAGTATAAGCCAGAGGGAGAAGCGGGCTCCCTGCGAGAAAGAGCACAAGCCAGAGGAAGAAGCAGACTCCCTGCTGAGCGGGGAGCCCTATGTAGGGCTCCATCCAAGAACCCTGAGGTCATGACCTGAACTGAAGAGTTGGACACTTAACTGACTGAGCCACCCAGGCACCCCATAACAAAGACATATTTAAATATTTTTAATAAGTGGTATAAATATGTAAGAAAAAAACAGGAAAATAAAAACTAATACTGTATTAGCCTAAAATAAATGTATATTTAGTTTTAATAGAAGTACAAAAAACTGGAAATGTTTTAAGGCAGACGCTTAACCGACTGAGCCACCCAGGCGCCCATGTTATAAATTTAATAAAGGAATTTGTCAGATATATTGTTAATATTTTCTCCCAGTCTTTGGCTTATCTTTTCATTTTATTGGTGGTATTTTTTGATGAATGAAAGTTTTTATTTTTGATAATCCAGTTTTCCATTATGTATTCCAATCTAAGAAATTCTTTGCCAACCTCATGGTTGTAAAGATATTCTGCCACACTTTTTTCTAGAAGCTATATAGTTTTAGGTTTTATGTTTAGGTATGTGGTATAGCTCAGCTTAACCCTTTGTATGTGGTGTGAAGTAGGAGTAGAGTTTATTTAAATACATGCATGTTTAGTAGTTCCATTACCATTTGTTTAAAAGACTGTCCTTTCCCTATTGAATTGCCTTGGGGCCTTTGACAAGTGATATGTTGATAGATTTCTCTGTTCTTTTCTATTTAACTATTTGTCTTTCCTTATACCAGAACCACAATATCTTTATTACTGAAGTTTATAGTCTTGAAATTAAGTCAATGGAAGACCTAAAGTTTTGACCTCCCTCCTCTCCTCCTCTCCCTCTCACTGCCAAGATTGTTTTGGGTCTCTTGCGTTTCTGTAAATCTGGGAGGATTCTGATTGGGATTGTGTTGAATCTCTTCAGTTTGGAACAAGTTGAAACCCTTAACAATATTGGTTTTATAATCCATAAGCATAGTATTGTTCTTCATTTATTTAGATTTTCTTTAATTTTTCTCAGCAGTATTTTATAGATCAGAGATTTTGTACATTTTTTTCTTAAATTCATTCCTAGGTGTATTTTTTGATGTAAGTGCTATGTTAAATTTCAATTTCTAATTGTTGCTAATATGTAGAAATACAATTGATTTTTTTTATATTAATGTTGAATCCCACAACCTTGCTTAAATCACTTATTAGGTCTAGTAAGTTTTTTTTTATAGATCCTTCTATAGAATTTTCTACATAGGAATCACATCATCTGAATAGAAACAATTTTACTTCTTCCTTTATAACTTTCATGCCTTTTCCCCCCTTTGTTTTTCTGCATTGGCTAGGATTTCCAGTGTTATTCAGTAGACCTTAGAGTGAACACCCTTCATTCCTGATCTTGGGGAATAATTTGGTTTATTTCTTAATTTAAAATTTTTCTTTCTTGTCCTTTATTCATGTTGTGTTTATTTGCCCCTCTGAGTTAATCTTCTGAAATTATTATTTTTCTTCATTTCTAATTTTTCCTTAGTTTGATTATTTCATTTCTGAGTTTCCTAATTCTGATATGTTTTATTCTTTTATATCTTATGTCATTTTCTTAATGTTTTTTACCTCTTTTGAAATAATCTTGCTTTTTTTTTTTTTTTTTTTTTTAGAGCGAGAACATCAGCAGGGTAGTGGGGGTGGGGAGGGGCAGAGGGAGAGGGAAAGAGAGAATCCTAAGCAGGCTCCACACTCAGCACAGAGCCTGACATGGGGCTTGATCTCACAACCCTGAGGTCATGACCTGAGCCAAAAATCAAGAGTTGGACGCTTAACTGACTAAGCCACTCAGGCGCCCCATAATTTTCTTTTCTATTATCGTATGGAATTTTACTTTGATCCTTGTCTTTGCTTATGTTTACTGAAATTAGTTTTCCTAAATTTTTGCAAGGAAGCTTATTTAGGATAGTTTTTCTGATTTCACTGCTCTCTATATCTTCCTCTTCTGTTGTGTTAATAGAGTTTGAAACAAAATGGTGGCTTATGATCTGAGACCTCCTAACTTGGTTTACTTTCTCACTTTTATTTGGGCTTTCTTTTTGCTTTGTTTCTACCATATTAATTTGGATTCTGTGCCAGCATTTTCTCCTCAGTGAAGTGCTTTGACGAGAAGGGAGTGTTGGTTTTAAGAGCTGTTGGGGCCCCAACTGCTTCACTTCAAACTGGTGTAGCTGGTGACGGTGTATCTCTACCTGACTGTGTTTTGGGAGTTTGGGGGATGCTTTCTCAACTGGTTTTGTTGTATTTGTTGTCCATGCTAACCTGGTTAGTTGCTTTGTGTGGTTTTATGAATTTATTTGGAAGAAATTAAATCATGGGCTGCCTCCATCTTAATAGAATCTTGTGTGTTTCTTAAGGGAAATACTTAAGTAATTAAGTATTTTTTCCTTGCAAAACATTTAATTTGAACATGATTCAGGCCTTCATTTTGATAACAAGTCACCCATACATACTATTCAGAAAAGATTTATCAGATTAGTAACTGTTGGTTCTCTTCATTTCAGTGAGTCAATGGAAACAGAAGAAAAGACAGGTAGTGTGCTTGTAGGAAAGACGCCAGAAGTGGTAAGTGTGTTTTTTGAAGTTGAGGTTATCATTAAACATATATTCCCACAGTATATTGTAAGTTAATTTATAGTGTTATATATTTGCCTTTATAGAGGTTTAATATTAGGTTTAATACCAGAGTCATTTTATAAAAATAGATCTTCTGTAAAAAAGTAAAATTTTAAGGACTGACCCTAGAAAGCATTTAACTTAGAAGAAATCAAATCTTTAGATGCTTATAAAAGATTGAACTCTTATCTAGAATAACTGAATTACTTGTCACAGGGTGAGAAGAAAGTATGGCCTCTAACAAATAAAATGGCAACTTATCGTGGGGGGGGCACTTTAGTTTGTTGTTTTTAATATTCATGGTGAGTGGAAGAATGGGGTAAGTATTAGAACAGTACTCTGTTGCATATAAATGTTTCCTCCTGCAAGACTTTTGATACTCAGGTCTGTAAACTTCAACTGTTCTTTACTTGGATGGCTTGTTAGTTCATGAGATCATATATATGTGTTGATTAAATGTGCTTTTGATTTTCTAGTTTGGAGTAGGGAGTTTCTCACCTTAACTATGATTGGTTCTGTATAAAAGAGTTTTCCTTGCATATCATCAGTAATCAGTTATTTTACATTTTGGGTTTTTTTTTTTAATATTAAAATGTTTTACATTGGAAGCTTGTTCAGAATGAATTGCATTCTTCCATCAAACTGGTATCATTATCTCAATGGTAGCTATTAAAGAAATAAATCATTCTTTCTCTCAAATAAATGATACATGAGTTTTCTAGATCCTACTATTAAAATACAAGTTTTGCTTTGTGTATGGACTGTGAATTTCACTGGTCTAGGGCTGTTAAAATACAGTTGGCTTAGTGGATTTCAGTAATATATGAATTTTCATTCTTGTTTGTTTATTTATTTTGGCAGAGTCCAGAGCCCAAGGACCAGACTTTGAAAATGATTAAAATTTTAAGTGGTGAAATGGCTATTGAGTTACATCTACAGTTTTTAATACGAAACAATAACACAGATCTCATGATTCTAAAAAACACAAAGGTAGGAAATTCATTTATAAGGGAGGCTTTCTTTTTGTATTTATTTCTTTGTTGAATATTAATATAAATACTTATTTCTTATTGAATACTTTGTTGCATTTTATTTTGATCAAGAAAATAACTTTTTAAAAAAATAACAAAGGACGAACTTGTTGAGAAGAAAGGGAATTAATATTGATTGAGCTCCTGTTTTTGTGTTCACCTTCATTGGGAAGTTTAGTGGTGTTTTGTTTTATTTTCATTTTTTTAGTTACCTTTTTATTTATATATATATCTATGTGTGTGTGTAGCACTTGGACAAATGACATGATCAGAACATTAATATAGTTTATATGTCTTTTTTCCCCATTGAACTGCAAATTCCTTGAGTGCAGAGGTTCTTATGTTGATATTGTATAACCTTTGCTGAGATATCAATCCTAACAATTACTAGTATTAATGTTAATCTCTAACCAAGTAATATATTTATCTGGTTCAAAAAATGTTTTAATATGAAAAGATTTATAGTATGAAAAATCTTCATTTTCCTGCCTCAACTACCCAGTACCCTTTGATGGTCATTTATTCTTTTATAGCTATGTATTATTTCATTAGTACATCGCTGATTGACTGAAACATGTAATCGTACTTCTCAAACTTCTAATAATTACAAATGGCAGATGGACACAGAATTACACAATGTGTATTTATAACAATTATTTGAAGCTAATCTTTATAATACAGTTTCATTAAAATTAAAATCACTTTGGTGACTGTCAGAGGTGCAGAGCGAGAAGAGGCAGGACTGCTCTTCAGGTTACTCTAATACCTTGGAGGCCGTAGACGAGATACTGAAGAGAAATGGCAAATTAAACTATTCAGAAATAGAAAATCTACTACCTGAACTTCTGCCTAAAATCTGCTGATCTCAAGACCACAGATAAGACTCTGACTTGATTGTTTTTATAAACTACCTATTTAATCTTTATAAAGAAATATCCAAGATCCATGGTTTAAATATCATCAGTTCAGTTTATTAATACTTTCTTTACAAACCAGGGCCTCTGATTGTATGTCTGCATGCAGCCTTGCATATGCATAAATACTTTGTCATGATAAAAATTATTTGTTTTTGTAGGATGCAGTACGGAATTCTGTATGTCATACAGCAACCGTTATAGCAAACTCTTTTATGCATTGTGGGACTACCAGTGACCAGTTTCTTAGGTAAATATACTTGAAGGTTTCCACTTTGGTTTAAAATCATCTTTAATAGGGACTCTGTTGACATTGTTACATGGATGTGGAGAGTTTCCTTTGCCTGCCTGTCCTGAATTTTAAATTTTGTTTTCGTTATTTTATACATTTTTTTTCCAAAGATGCATTTACTTATTATTTTAGAGAGAGCGCGCGTGCATGCGGGCACAAGTGGGGGGAGGGACAAAGTGGGGAGAGAGGGAATCCCAGACAGACTCTCTGCTGAGCACAGAGCCCAACTCGGGGCTCAGTCCCACAACCCTGAGGTCATGACCTGAGCTGAAATCAAGAGTCAGACACTCAACTGACTGAGCCACCTAGGTGCCCCTATACATTTTTTATTGCATATGTCTGCTTGTTTTAAGGTAAAATTAATTCCTTTTATTAGTTGACTTGAATATATGCTTTTGCATGAAACACATTAATATAATTCTGCTTTTGTTCATAATGAATTGACATGCATTTTTTTAAAGTCTTCAGAAGACTAAGAACTTCAGAGGTAAACTAGAATCAGCAGTAACTTGAGCTCCATAAAGTAAAATGATTTGCAATAGTTCAAGGTAAAATTTTAATGCTTTGACTTTAGTGTTATAAAAAGCTTTATGGAATTCATTTCAATAGTATTGCTGAATTTTCTTTTCTTACAGAGATAACTTGGAATGGTTGGCTAGGGCCACTAACTGGGCAAAATTTACAGCTACAGCCAGTCTGGGTGTAATCCATAAGGTAATATATACTGGTCAGTATGAACAGAAGCAATTTTTTTTGGAGTTAAAAGAATAAGAGTTTATGAAATTCCTTCACAGGGACATTTTGGTAAATCAGATCAGTCCTCTTATAGGAAAGAATAAAGTAAATAAGAAATTAAAATACCTATGTGTTTGGTTTTAATAAAAGGTGGAAATTCTTTTCCTGTGAAGACTAAGACATTTCTCAAAGGATGAATTGAAATAAGTTATTTGCATAGTCTAAGATGAATTTGGAGAAATGTTGTAAAACGAGGGAAAAAATTGAAGCATTTGTTTCTAACAAGGATGTGATTGGATCTTTTAAAATTCTCCTCTCATTTGAGTTACAAAGTTGTCTAGGGGAGAGAAGAGATCCACTTCCTCCTCTTTTAGAAAGTGAATTTTCTGGAGAGAAGACAGTAGTCATAGAAAATATATATTTTTTCTCTCACTTTCTCTTACACCTCTGTTGTGGTTCAAATTTATAGGGTCATGAGAAGGAAGCGTTACAGTTAATGGCAACATATCTTCCCAAGGACACCTCTCCTGGATCAGCCTATCAGGAAGGTGGAGGTCTCTATGCCCTAGGTCTCATTCATGCCAATCATGGTGGAGATATAATTGACTATCTACTTAACCAGCTTAAGAATGCCAGCAATGATGTAAGTATTTGAATGAAAAACTAATTTCTGTTACTTAAGAGTCCAGGAAAACACTATGTTTGCTAAATTATTTTAGTGAATAGAAATTTTGTAGGATTTTGAAACTCCAAAAATAGAACTATTTTTAAAGAATTATTTTTTAAGATAATTTTCTTTCCTTCTCTATAAACTAAAATTGTGCTGGGCGCCTGGGTGGCTCAGTTGGTTAGGCGACTGCCTCCGGCTCAGGTCATGATCCTGGAGTCCCGGGATCGAGTCCCACATCGGCTCCCTGCTCAGCGGGGAGTCTGCTTCTCCCTCTGACCCTGTTCCCTCTCGTGCTCTCTGTCTCTCATTCTCTCTCTCTCAAATAAATAAAATCTTTAAAAAAAAAAAAAATTGTGCTTCTCAGTCCTTTAAACCTTGTATGTGACAAGCAAAATAAAGTACCATATATTTGTAAAATATGTATTGTATTTCCACACTTAGGAGTCTTGGAATGTTATAACTATAAGTGATCTTAGTGATCATTTAGTCTAATTTTGTTATTTTATAGGAAACTAAGTCCCAAAGAAATGCATAACTCTAAGGAACCAGAATTCTTGGTTATTTGCTATTTTATAATTTTTAAATGTAATTCTTTTGGAAAAACTTATTAAGCAGATTGCTTTTACTTTACGGAACCTTGAAATAGGATTTTAGACTTTAGCTTTTATGTTAGACTCTTTTTTAGAAGGCTATTAGGAGAGTGGCTAAGTAAGCCAGACATTGTCCTTCTATTTCAGTGAAAAGACTGAGGCCAGTAGGATCATCTGTCTTAGCTAATGAGCTCCTCATCCACAGATACTATGTACATTTATTTATATCTTTGGCTCATTTCCTCTGGTCTCAGGTAAAAATTTTCTTACCGGACAAAGGTCTTTGGTTGCCAGCGATAGAAACTTCCACTGATTGACTTAACACAAGGAGTTTATCGGAAGTAGCTTATATAATGAAAGGAAAAGAGGATAAACGAATTCTCGTAAAAGTTAAGAGCCAGGGCAGTTCTAGGGATCTAGATAACAGGAACTAATGGTATTGTCTGTCTAGGCCCTGCTGTCAGGATGAATGAACTTGAAATGCTTTTGGGTCATTTCACTGTAAAAAGATTATAATTTCAGAGAAAGAGCATCCAAGTGGTCTGTTTTGGGTCACAGTCCACTTTGGGTAGGGGAAGGTGGGTGCTTATTAAATGGCAGTCTCACCAAGATTAGCCAATGGGAGAGGAGTATTTTCCAAGCAAGATTGGGGTGCTGTCACCTATAAAAGGAGACTGCACTCAAAAATGACACATGACTACTAAAGTGCCCCTCTTTTGAAATAAAGACCAACTTTTGCCCTTGACCCCATTTTTTCCCCCACTTCTTTATAACCGTGTTCTATTAGATACCCTTTTCTCCTCTCTTCAGGCTCCTTCCCCTCAGCCTATAAGCATATTCAGGTCTCACCTATCCTAAAAAAAATCTTTCTTTGACCCTTGTTTCTCCCTCTTGGTTACCGTATTCCTCCACTTCTCATGTAAACTTACTGAAAGAGAGCTGTACCCTCTCCCTCCATTTTCTTATCTTTCATTCACTTCTCAACTTGCTATTATTTTGCATCAGCAAGCACCATTCTTTTGAAATTGAAATTGCTGAGGTTACCACTGACTCTCTGGTTCTCAAATACTTTGATCATTCTCACTAGGTCAACTGCTCTACATATTTAATATCACAATATATTTTTAAATCAGAATAAAAACTTGGATTTTTAAGTACAGTGTTCCAAATCAGCAGAGCCCATGCTTTTTCCCTAGATTGTTCGACATGGTGGCAGTCTTGGCCTTGGTTTGGCTGCCATGGGGACTGCGCGCCAAGATGTGTATGATTTGCTAAAAACAAACCTTTATCAGGATGATGCTGTGACAGGTAAGAGATTCTTTCCAGAGACAACAATCTTTAGGATTAACTAATGTAACTAATATTTATTTTCTATTTATATTTTATAGCCTCTTAAAAATCTAATAGATTACTTGTAGAAGGGAGTGGATTTTGCCCTATTTGTCAAATTCATAGAAATAGGGTTTGTGATATATAGGTTTTAAAAAATGATATATCCTGTATATCTGTCTGTATAACAGTTTTGCAAATAGAAATTTATTAGTCACCTGTTTGAATCTCAGAGCTATCTATACTGCTTGGTGATAGCATAGAATAATGTAATGTCATTATGTCTCCTTTGAAATCATTGTAGGATTCGATGATGCATTCTGTCAAGATTTAAAAGGAAAATAGCTATAAATATATGGATGTGCTTTTTATCAGATGGTTTGAAAAAAATGCTACCAGAAGCTAATTGTTGTTTTGATAGTTGATGATAATAAGTACCACTTCCGATAAGACATGTGTTATTGATTTTCACACATAATTATTATTTTTTAATGTTTTCCTTTTTACTCACTAGGTGAAGCAGCTGGCCTGGCCCTAGGTTTGGTTATGTTGGGCTCTAAAAATGCCCAGGCTATTGAGGACATGGTCGGCTATGCACAGGAAACTCAACATGAGAAGATTCTGCGTGGTCTTGCAGTTGGCATAGCATTAGTAATGTATGGGAGGATGGAGGAGGCTGATGCTCTCATTGAATCTCTGTGCCGTGATAAGGTGAGATGATACATTATTTATCCTTTTCTCCCTGCACTTCATCACACCCCGTTTATCGCCAGCATTTAGAGAAACACTTTCATTAGAAATTATCTCTGTTCCCATCAGAACACCTAGCTACACTTGTTGATGAAACTCCTTGCAAGAGCTATAAAGCTTAGCAGAATGTAGGAAAGGAGAGCACTGATTAGAACAGGTGAACAGGACTAATTTGAGAATTTTAACCATCTGAGTCACCCAGGCGCCCGAGAATTTTAAATTAAGACTTCAGATCAATAATTTTCAGATAAGCAGATCCAGAAAAGTTCTTTAGAAATTGATTTCTTTTGGAAATTAATATTTTTGGAATCACTTCATAATCATTTAATGAGATAAAAAGTTTACCTCATTGTTTTTTCTTGATTTCTTTTGGAAATAATATATTTGGAATCACTTCATAATCATTTAATAAGATAAAAAGCTTACCTCATTGTTTTTTCATCAAAAACCAGTGCCAGTCTCTCTGCTTATTTATCTGGGTGAATTTTTTTCATTGCCTTTTGTTTTGTTTTATTTTATTTTGACCGTGGTATTTTGTGTGGTGGGTAGTCAGTGGTAGCTAATGCTGTCCTCTGTAGTATGATAAAAAGAACCACTGTTAATAGTTAAGTGATAAAACTGCTCATTATTTTGCTCAGCTCTCAGAAGCCATATCTGTTCCACTCAGTGCTCAAGAATTAAGTAAGCGAGTTACAATGTAGAATTAGAAGCGAGCTTCTTTGTTATTTGTTTAACAAATGGAAGCTGAGTATCAGAGAGTAGTTAGTGTTGGTATTGGACTTGAGTTGATACTTCCTAGTCAGTGTACGGCAATGCAGGCACGTTGCATAGAGCATTGGGAATTAAAAGGAGTTAATTCCTCCTGTATTAGAGTCTGTATTTCCACATTCGTTTAGAAAATTACCAACCACAAAATCATTCTCCTTAAGTGTCTAATTTCTTACCTAAAACCAACTTTCCTGGTGGTTGTAGCTGTGCCAGTTAGACTGTAAGAAGTCACTGTTTGAAATGATAACTTGTCGACTGATGTAGATTATTCTTCTTAGGACCCAATTCTTCGACGGTCTGGAATGTACACTGTAGCCATGGCTTATTGTGGCTCGGGTAACAACAAAGCTATTCGACGCCTGCTACACGTTGCTGTAAGTACTCTTCCTTATGTCATTATGTCTCCTTTGAAATCATTGTAGGATTCGATGATGCATTCTGTCAAGATTTAAAAGGAAAGGGTAGAGGTGGAAAGAAAAGTTTGCAGATGGACACCAAATGTCTAGGCTGCGCAGCACCTACACTGCACGACCACCATGAGTGATCTCAGGTTCAGATTCTCACTCACTGGACACAATCAGCTATAACCTAAGTACCAGGAATAGAACAGGATAATAGTATGTCAGTACAAATAGAGGTCCTTAAAATCATTCAAGGGCAACTTTTGAAAACCAACTCCAAAGGGCACCCTCATTTGTAAGGGACAAGACCACGTGAGTATGTGCAGTTACCCCGGGATAGAGAAATCTAGTGAACAATAAAAACCACTTCTTTTTACAGCCTGTGAACTTAGCTTCCAGGTACCCCTAGGGAACATGCTCTATTACAAGAGATACCTTGCACCCGAAAGGCAGTGCCCATGTTTTCCAATAGGCTTTTCCCATTCCTAGTCTTCCCAATCCAGACAGAGTTTATGAACAATAATGTTGCCTGGTAACACAATGGACGTTGCACATATGTCTTAACTTAGTAGGTTTCTAACATCTTGGTTCCAGGAGAAGGTAAACCTCAGGTCATCTTCCCATGCAGAAAAGGTTTAGAACCATTATTATCTTCTTCCCAGAGATACTCACATCGCATAGTATTTATTACTAATTTATCTTTTATCAGTGCAGCCTGTGGTATGTTGTAAATTGTAAATGTTTGTATTTTGCTTGAATTTAGAACATACTTTTTTGAAAACAACATTGAAGGAATGGTTAGATTTTCAGTGTAGCTCACAAAAGCCATAGTGCAACTGAAATAAACTTTAGAAGTAGCCCTGATTCTTAAACTTCACCAAGCTTAAAAGGCTTCTAAGACCTGAAATAGAGTATTTCAGATGAGTTTTTCCAAATTGAGGGATGATATTCTAATTAAAGAGTGATATATTAATGAGGTCTGATTTATATTTGAATGATGTGAGCCTCTCATATCAGTTAATTCTAGTAATAGAATTCATGGTATAATGTAATCATCCTTTAAAATTTTTCCTAGGTAAGTGATGTCAATGATGATGTCCGGAGGGCAGCAGTAGAATCACTTGGGTTCATTCTATTCAGGTAATAATTTCTAATTTCTGGTTCTCTTTGTAGTCCCTTTTTTTTTTTTTTTTTTTTACAGTCAGTAACTAAACAGAAACTAAATGTCTGAGGGATATATCTAGGTTCAGAGTGAAGACCATTCTTCTGGTCTTCACTACCATAAGGTTAGTACTGTTGATCTGAAAAAGAAGCAAGTGTGTCTTGAGAGACCAAGAACCTATTTGAAAAGTACTAAAACAACTTTATTGTTTTTTTCATAACGTTCTGTGTATTTGCTTAAATTTTTAAATCCAAATAACATGTTTAGTACTGCTCTTTCCATACACATTGGTAATTCAAATGGGATGCTGTTTCTTACATAGGGTTGTAGAGTTCTTGAAGCTCTTGAATGAGAATAAAAGAGGATAGCCTTTGTTTCAATGCAGAAGGGTGAAAAATCTGCAGATTTAAGAAAATTATTTTGGACTTGAGATTATTTAAGAAAATTATTTTGGACTATTCTATGCGCTTGGCATAGGATAGTTGTGATTAAGAGGAGACACTCTGAAACCTATCTGCTGGCATCGAATCCTGGCTCTGCCACTTCAAGCGGAGTGACTTTGGGCTTGTTAGCCTTTTTGAGCCTCCAATTTCTCAACTGTAAAATGGGTGTAACAATAGTACCTATTTTAAGAAGTGTGTTTTGGGGGTGCCTGGGTGGTTCAGTTAGTTAAATGGCAGACTCTTGATTTCAGCTCCGGTCATGATACTAGGGTCCTGGGATTGAGTCCTGAGTAGGGCTCCCTGCTCAGCCGGGAGTCTGCTTCTCCCTCTCCTTCTGCCCTTTCCCCTGCTTGTGCTATTTCTCTCTCTCTCAAATAAACAAATAAATCTTGGGGTAAAAAAAAAAGTGTGTTTTTGGATGAGTAACTGAATTAAGAAGATCTAAAGCCCTTAGAACAGCGTCTGGCACTACTAAGTGTTATTTAAGCATATGATAGTAGTGATCATTCTAACAGTGGTAGCAGATGCAGTAGTACTTCTTGGAGTTCTTACTGTTTATCTCCAATCTCAAGTACCACTGTTTCTTTTAGCTAAGATACTATAAAAATCCAGCAAAGGCAAATTAAAAGTACTTCTTTTAGCTCTATTTGGACACTGATTATTGTAGCTCATTTGTGATGGAATTATACAAAAAAATAAGTTCCCAAGGTACATGTTAGATGAGTCAGTAAGATGAGTCTCACTCATGTCCTTTTAATCTCTGGGGTAGATTTTCTCCCAGGTTCCTGGGAGTGAACCTTTGTTGTAAAGGTCACAATATAATTCAACAAATATTGAATATCCATTGTGAACTGGTTACAGGAACTTCTTCATAACATCTTAGATAGGAAGGTATTCCATTTATCGAGAAGTTATCCAGATAGGCTGTAAAATATTTTACTCCTCTGTGGGTAAAAATGTTGAATAAAACAGCAAAGTACAGACCCATATGACATAGTAATCAGGTTGCTCCTTACACCAGTCAGTTTTGTTGAATAAGGTTGTTCAACCACACGCTAACCTCCTTCATTGTGTTGTCCTCTAACCCTCATTTGTTCAGCTTGTTCACAAAGACACTAGAGAGCCTTCACTAAATCTGAAGACAGTATTTACGCAGATCTACTCGTCTAATACCTCCAGAATAGGGTATGTGATTATTATTGTGTTTAGTAATCCATAGAAGTGTCAGATATTCATGGATTCTTTTTCTAAGGTATGACAAAACCTATGTGCATTAAGCTATTCTACATTTTTTTAAAAAGATCTGCAATTGACTCCACACTTAGTTTCTTGAGTCCTCTTTCTCTTTTTGAACATAGAATATTTAGCCACTTATAGTCTTTTTGTACCTTTGCCATTTTCTTTTTTTTTTTTTTTTTCAAATTTGTCAGCAGTGGTTCCATAATTACAAGCACAAGTTCTCTTTCAGGGAGGTGATTCATTTAGCTTACAGGGTTGAACTCATTTAAGACAGCCAGTCTTTGCACCTGTTTTGCATTTTTTTTGTAATTTTATTTATTTATTTGAGAGAGAAAGCACAAGTGGGAGGGGCAGAGTGAGAGAGAATCTGAAGCAGACTCCCTGCAGAGTGGGGAGCCCAATGCAGGGCTTGATCTCATGATCCTGAGATCACATGAGCCAAAACCAAGAGTCGGCAGCTTAACCAACTGTGCCCCCTGGGTGCCCCTCACCTGTTTTACATTTTGATCAATCTTTACAACATTACTTTTTATCTTTCTGGTCCAAAAATCACTCTCCTGAGTTGGGGAAAAATGGAAGTAAAAATAGACATTGGATAGTTCTATGTTCTCCCTGTCCATTTTTGGTGTATTATTTTAGCCAAGCTGTGACCCTAACCTTTCACTGGTTTTGCTCTAGAGTTTAGATGGGAGGGGGAGGGTGTTGGGGGGGTGTATTATTGCCATCCAGAGAGGGTTTTTTGTTTTGTTTTAATTCTTATCAGAGGGCTAGATAATTTTGATTTGGAAAGTATATTTTTCTAGGGGTCCCTTTAGTAACGGTTGGTTTGTATAAACAATCCTACTCATGATGGTCTCTTCCTTTGTTTTGTTTCCTTGTTGTCATTTATTAATTCTTCTTGATTTTATATTTCGTATCTTATAAATCAGCGGCCTGTTGTGTATATTCTGCACATAGGAAGTTGAGCTTCGGAAAAACTGTTTTTCTTCCCTTTTTAACCTGACAGCGCTTTGCTCTCCAATTAACATTCATTTCTGCCTCTGCATTTCCTGTAGCTCACACATGCTAAATTCCCAGTTTCAGCAGCAGATGTCTCCCATGAGCTGCTTTTAGGCTTTGCTAAGTTTTTTGTTTTTTGTTTTTTGTTTTTTTTTACTGCCTAGGATAGTCAGATCCAGCTAATGAGTGGTTCTATGTGCTTGTTATTTTCTAAGGGACCATTCTGAGTTTTGTTTTTATAATATGACTCTTTATAAGTAGAGAAACTGGAAAAGACTTTAGAGGTGATTTTGTGTGAAAGTTACTTTAGAGATGAAGAAAATTAAATGTAATCAACTTGTCTAAGGAATTGCAATTGAAACCAGATTCTCAAAATTTTAGATTAGTGCCATTTCCCTAGAGTGAGAATTTTTAAAGGTGAAAGAAACTTAGAAATATTTTTTTTAAAAAAGGAAATTGAATTCCAAAATAGTTAATAAAATTTCTCATTGTCATAGAACTAAATGGTAGAATGAAATTCAAAACAGATCTCATTATAGACCAATGCTTTCTACAACATGCCTTTCCATCAGAGCACTGTTTTCCTAAGTGACTCTCAGAACATTTTTATTCTCAAATTTCCTCATTACCTTTAATATTTAGAAAGTTTCTGTTCTGTCTCTTAAGAATAGTAAATGTTTTCTGATGCACCATCATTTGCTTTCTTAGAATGTGCTCCATTTTATCATTTCTTCCCTTTTAGATGTTACATACTACTTTTAAAATAACTGCAGACATTTGACCTTCTTGGACCATATTTTAAGAATTTATTTCTTCTTAATTTTTTTAATCTTTTTAAGTGTACTTGCTGGACATGAATATTGAAAACATGTGGGTAAACATGTATTTGTACTTCAACATAGATGAAATTGTCTTGTGGGAAACTAAAAATTCTCAATGTGTATGATTCTAGTACATTTTTTGTGTAATACATAGGTGATTATTAGGACCATTGTTAATCTGTCCAAGCAGATTTTATTATAACTATAGTTATAACTATTATAACTCTTTGTACAGTACTATGCTTGCCATTGACTGAAACTCAGTTGGAACGGAACATAATTTGAACTATTTTAACTTGACATTGGAAAGGAAAGTGAAGAAATTGGTCTTTACATACTTGTTGAGATTAAGTTGCTATAATGATCTGATACAGACTTTTTTTTTTAAGATTTTATTTATTTATTTATTTTAGAAAGAGAGCATGGGAGCACAAGCAGGATGAGGGGCAGAGGGAAAAGGAGATAGAATCTCAAGCAGATGAGTGCAGAGCCCAATGTGGGGCTTGATCTCATCCTGAGATCACGACCTGAGCCAAAGTCAAGAGTCAGACTCTTAACCAACTGAGCCACCCAGGTGCCCCTGATATAGACCTTTCTTAAAATTAGACAATCCTGGTCATCTTTGCTATAACTTAAGGTGTTACAATATAAAACTGGATATTTCTCAGTGTAAACGTTAATATGCTTTCAGATGTGGATGGATCTTGCTAGATGTGAGGGAGATTCCTGGTGCAGACATTTTTTAAGACCATAAAAAAATGGGTTCCTTGAATATAAAAATGTTGCACCATCATAGATCCTTAGAATTTGAAGGAACCCCAGCCATTAGTTACCACCAAATGCATGTAAAGATGTTTACAGTATCTCCACTCACAATTTTGTATCAATTCAGTACATACTCTCTGTATTCTGCCTCAGTGTCTTTGTGTTTATGTTCTTGATGCTATAACTTCCTTACTTTAATTTTGTCTTTTTCACTCTTTTTCTATACCTTTGTTTTCCCCCTTCATTAATTAACAATAAATATGAAAGCGAATGAAAGTTTTTTTTAATTATTTTTCTAAAGAGATACAGTCTACTCTTTCTCTTTGAAGTTAAAACTGTAGTCTTTTTGTTGCCGTTGGTGTGGTTAACTTCTGAGATTTGCTTTAAAATTATAGATTTCTTTAAAGTATTCTGAAATAGAAGAATCAGTTGTATATCAAAGTGGTAAAAGTTTGTACTGTGTTGTACTTTTTCAAAAATAGTTTATATTGGAATTGTATTTCATTTTCTAGAAGTATTAGAATATTTCTCATTAACTAGAGAAAGATCTCTCAGCTGACTATAAGCAAAGAATTTTTTTCCCCGGGAATTGACACTGACTAGTTTAAGGGTCATATAGTTAATTTTGTAGGTATGTGTATGTTTAAGCACATATATCAATTTGGAGGCAGTATAGAGCATGTGAGAAGGTAGTCTGTTTACTCTAGTTTATCTCGGGGTAGAGTTTGATAGTGTGCGTGCCATCTCTAGTATTTAGACTTCTGAAACAATTATATATGCCTTCAGATATATAAGATGCAGTTTGGAATACTATTAAAGTGACATCAGAAAACTTAATCTTATGTGACTTGGCAAGAATATAAGTCTTAATATATGTCAAACCCATCATCATATTAGAGACTAGAACCAAAATGGATAAATTTTTTTTTCAGGAATGTAAATTATTTTGCTTATATGAACTGGGCCACCCGTCATGCTCCTGAAAAATCTTAGACTGGTGGGGGAAAGTGCCTAAAGCTTTGAGATTTAGGGATTAAATTTGTTGGATATACTCTTTCTGGCAGGTGACATAGAATCCATAAGGTCTGTGTTCTAACTATGTTCTAGGAAAGGCTTCTGCCATTTGGAGAATACATATCTGGTTAACTTATGCTGAGCTCCATAGCCAACACATTTCTTGAAATAATTTTCTTTAAACTTAATCACCTGGAGAGGGACAGCACTAGAGCAATAGGTTAAAACATAAGAATGGGTCAGCCTGAAAAGGAAAAGCTAAGATATGGGCTGTCTTCACTGCAGACCCACTCAGCCTAAATTTGTTCACTATCTATGGCAGTAGCATAACAATAAAATATCAGATGTAAATAGAATTGGCTACCAGTACAGACTGGCCACATGTACTCATCCTCATAAGAACCCTATGTAGATGAGAAAACTGAGGCCCAGAGAAATTAAGTATCTTTCATAAATGTAGTCAGTTAGCTGGTGGACACAGTTTGGATTTATTCCCAGATCTAGCAGTACAAAGTGAAATAAGGAAAGAATGAATAAAAAATGTTGTGCCAGAAGTTCAGTCAAGTTTTTGGGTCATTAGGGGTCATTAAAGTTTAGGTTCCTGGATCGAGATCCTGTGGCTCCAGTTTGCACTTGTTCTTTAAGGAACAAAATTAATTTCAGGTACCCAGAAGTGATTTCATTTGCTTCCTCTTCTTTTCTAAGTTAGACCCACGTCTGGTGAGTAAATACCTGGTATCAGCCATTTAACAAACAGCTCTGGTTCCGAGATCCTGTTACTTTGTGTGATATCCAACTACTATTCTCCCTACCCCTTCCATCAAGACAAGTTTCTTGATCAAAGAAAAATCTTGACTACATTTAACTGAGCCAGACCGTAATGACAGTCTTAGCTTACCTCCAGATGCGATCATTTTATGCACTTATTTTTAGTCTTCTGTTCCTGTCACTGTTTTCTGTGTTATGCCTTATGTTTTTAAGGCTTTGAAGAGGTTAATGCTTTTTTGTCTTGTTTTATTTCATTCGAAGCACAGCTTTGCATACAGTTAGGAACTAAACAAATTCTTACAATGACTGTTTAAGACTGAAACTTATTGATTTACTTAATTTTATTTCATTTGAATACCTTAACATTTAGCCAGACTGCTGGATTATTTTTGTTTGCAGCCGTACAAAATGATTTTTTTCATGGAGTAGTTTTGTCCAAATAAAGAAAGTTATATAATCTTAAAAGATAACTCTTATTTTAAAGAGATGATTTGATACATGACATAAAGTTCTCCTTTACATAATTCTTGGTACATTTATATCTGCTTAATTACCTCACTCATCGTTATATTATTTAGATGAAAACTGACATTCCTTCTATACATAACTGACTTGCTCTTCAGTTTTGTCACCTTCATTCTCTGTGAGGAGAAGTGTATCTAGTAGAATGATTGAGGAAGCCTGAATGTTTGAACTGTGGAGCCTCATTGGGCTCTGGTACATGGCAGGATTAATCCCATTTCGCATTCCATGTTTCATGAAAAACTTAGAGTTCTCTGCCATTGGATTTCGGAAGTAGATATTGCTGGAGCATTTTCTGATAGTTTTTACTGATCTCGTGGCCCGGTAATTGCAGGTGATGTATCGGCCAAATGCGTTCCGAAATGTCTTATTGAAGAGGGTGTAGACCAAAGGATTCACCCCTGAGGAAACGTAGCCTATCCACACAAATACTTCTAGGAGCATTTTGAGAGTAGTCTGGTTGCAGGAATCACATAAAACTAAAGTTATATTTGTAATAAAAAAGGGGCACCACATAAGCAAAAAGAGAAAAAAAACAATCCCTAGAACCTTGGAGGCTCTCTGTTCATTGGAAATGGTCTGCGTGGACTTTCTTCCAACTGTGGACATTATTCGCCTAAGTATGTCATCACTTGAGTTGGGCAGAGTTTTGTCCTTGTGGGAACCATGCAGCATTGCCACCTTTTCAGGTGATGAGCAAGGTGTTCCATCCCTTTGGAAAACTGTAGACACAGCCAGCCACGTTAGGCGTTGAGGTGGCTTGGTTTTGACCAAGTAAGCTTTCTTCTGTAAAGCATGGATAGTGAGAAAGTAGGTGACAATCATGATTGCCAGAGGTGTGAAGAAGGCAGCCAGCGAGCCAAAGAGCATGAAGTTGCCGAAACGATCCTTTGTCAGCACACAGGTGATGTTGCTTGGGTTCCCCACATCAGTTTCTATCCCTCTAATAGGTACTGGAATGGCAATGCCTAAGCAAACAAGATAAATTGAGTTAATTTTATGACCTTGGACTCTTAGGTTAGGACCTTTTAGAGTTTATCTTAAGTGACTTTATGTGGTTAGTGGTTAGTGTATTGTCATTCCTAGTACACACAGTGCAGAACCTGTCAATGCGTGTAATTAAAGGTAGATTTAACAAATAGAACCCAAGTGAGCAAACCTGATGTTTTTAACAGATAGATTAGTGATTTCAAGTTTATAATTTAAGCTTCCCTAAAGCTGTAGTGTATCCACGAAATAGGAGAGAACGTCTTCATTTATTCTCCATTTCTCATCATCTCTGTTTGTTGATCTATCCCAGGTTAAGGAAAAGGAGTTCAGAAGAGAATTTGCTTTAACTTTATATGCAGTGTAGTTGATTTAAAGCAACTTCAGAGTACTTTCATGCAGTGTCTTAATTCTAGATAGATACCTATTATCTTTGAGGCTACACAGTTTCATTTAACAAACATTTTCATTTTTTGAAATTTATGAATGTCTTAATCTTTTCCTCTGACAACTTAGGGAAAGCTAAGGGGAGTTGTTTTTTAAAAAATGCTACTTAAATATTTGAGATCATATGATTCATAAAATTTATTTTCAAGTTGAGAGTTCTTCTAGCAGATGTGAAAGAAATGTATCTCATGCTAATTTTCTAATATTTTAAATACCATGAAGTGGGTATTTAAATATGATCTTGCCTCGTGAAGGAGCTTATTAGAAAGACAAGTACACAAGTGTTATCCTGAATCCTTTCCCTTTGAAACGGCAGATTCGTAAAAAGAAGTTTGAATTAACTGATCTTTAGAAACCTCTAGAATCCTTGTGTTTTTTATGAATCTGAAAGTACTTCATCATGTACACCATGTACACAGCCTTTTTATGGAAACTGAAGAGCCCTTGACAAAAATATTTTCCTCAAATCCTTTCTAACAGGGAGGCTACTGCTTTTTCTACTTTTCCTCAACTACACCACCAGAAAGTGGATTCTGTATACTTAACTATTCTACACTAGGGGTCAGCACACCACAGCTTGAGGGCCGCATCTGGCCTGCATTCTGTTTTTGTAAATAAGATTTTATTGGAACACAGCCATCCCCATTTGTTAACAAATTGTCTGTGACTGCTTTTACTTTCCTGCTGCAGAGTTGAGTAGTTGTGACAGAAACCATTAGAGCCTGCAAGCCCAAAATATTTACTATCTTGCCCTTTACAGGAAGAGTTGGCCGACCCCTGCTGTTCCCTGTTATTTCTAAGTGATTGTTCCACTGTTCTTTCTCCCCAAAACCCTTCCCTTTTGAAGTCTATTTATAATCTGCTTACAGCACTCTGTTCTCCATGCAGTCATCTACCAACCTCTGGGACATCTGTCCATCTTCCTCAGTAGATTGAGCACCTTGCTAAAGCCTTCCTTTCCACTGCTCCATTGCTCTTACCCTCCATGATTTGATCTCATTGATGACCCTTCTGACACCTTCATTTTGTATCTGTTGAACTCCACTCTAATTTCTTTTATTATTTTTAAAATTTTATTTCAATTCCAGTGTAGTTAACATACAGCGTTATATTAGTTTCAAGTGTATCAACCCTCATTATTCTTACTTGCACTCCTGAAGGCATCCATAAACCCTCTTAAAGCTGTCCCGTATCTAAAACCATGAACTTTGTGTGATATTTCCCTTTCTTGTCCTGCTACTCTTCATTACTGTGGGACTTCTTTTTACAGTTATCTTGACCTCTAGTCCATTCGTCCTCTATTTTCACATTCCATTAACCTCTTTCAAGGCTCACATTACCTTCTCAACCAGCTTGGTGGTCAATAACATAAGTTTTCACTAGTGCTTTTTATACCCTTATCCCCTTATTTTTTCATACCTTACTATTTGCCAGGTCTTACCTAGGATAACTAAGTCCAGAAGAAAGTGAGCTCTTTTCAGCATTTTGCAGAATTTAAAAACTGAACTAACCCTATCATCTGCTTTTTCTTCTGCAAAGTTACTGAATTGTCACTGGTCTGACAAAACAAAGTGTGATGAAATGAACACAGCATTGATCTTGGCCTTGGTGCTGAAAAGCTGTTAACAGTCTTTAAGCCAACTATTTAAAACCTCTAGGTTTCGGGGTGCCTGGGTGGCTCAGTCGGTTGAGCTTCTACCTTCGGCTCAGGTCATGATCCCAGGGTCCTGGGATTGAGCCCCACATCAGGCTCCCTGCTCAGTGGGGAGCCTCCTCTCCCTCTCCCTCTGCTCTTCCCCTCCTGCTCATGCACTCATTCTCTCTCTCTCTCTCTCTCTCTCTCTCTCTCTCTCTCTCTCAAATAAATAAATAAAATATTTTAAAAAATTTTAGGGTGTCTGGGTGGCTCAGTTGGTTAAGCGACTGCCTTCAGCTCAGGTCATGATCCTGGAGTCCCTGGATCAAGTCCCACATCCGGCTCCCTGCTCAGCAGGGAGTCTGCTTCGCCCTGTGACCCTCCCCACTCTCATGTGCTCTCTCTCTCTCTCTCTCATTCTCTCTCTGTCAAATAAATAAAATCTTTTAAAAAATTAAAAAAAAAATAAACCTAGGTTTATTTTCTCTAGGTTTCTTTTTTCATCTATAAAAGGAAAATGAATTTATAAGATCCCTTCCAAAGCTACAAATCTGGAGTCTTCTTTTTATTCTTTTCCACCTGCATACTTAACACTTTGTATTAGTCTAATTTCTTTATTATCTGCCTTCCTTGAATATAAAAGCTCTTTTTTATTAATCTTTGTATTCTTGATATCTAGTATATCATAGGTACTCAACAGAGATTTGATCTGTTTATGGATTCATGTGAACCAGTCTTAATTGGGGTATCACTTCTAACAGTAGACTGTTTATTGGCTTGATCATATTTCATGGTTTCAGATGTTTTAATTCTTCTTAAGGATCATTTCTCCTATTTTCTCCCTGCCTTTGCCCCATTTCCTCCACCTTACCCCAACACACAGGTACCTCACACTATCCCCCCCCATCCTCTCCCTTACTGCAGTGAGTTTACTAAAAAGATGTGGGACTTCTGGCATGAGCTACTATAGTTTCCCTCCTTTCCACTTTAAATTTTGGTGACTGTTACCCATTATCTCCCATGCACTTTCTCTAGCTTCTTTTGGGGGACCTTTTCTGCTCTGTCAATCAGCATCTGTCCCCAAAACTAGCCTATCTCACTGCTTTCAAACCTGTCCATTCTGAATAGACTTTTCCTTGATCCTAATTTCTTCACAAGCCACAGTAGTAACACTCCTTACTTTTACCTCCAAACTTTTCAAAAGAGGTTTGGCCCTGGTATTATTTCAGGAACATAAAGGTCATTTTCATTATCTTGCTTTCTTGCTTTTTTGCCCAGTTTTTCTTATTCTGATTGGAGAGAGACCATGTCTTTTTCTTGTTTTCCTTTTAGCATTCCAGATCTCTCCTGATTTTTTTTCTTCTTTGATTTTTTCTTTTTGCTAGGAGGAAGTGAATCTGCTAGTCAGACTACTGATGATCATAGTAATTGTTGTGAATCTGTTTTTCTGATATTAACTTATAAGAGGTCTGAAAAATTTATGCTGTACTTCATGCTAGGATACTCTATTATGGAAGCTATTTTTGAGTATTAAAGATGGGCACAAGGGCATAAGGCAGTTTAGAAGAAATATTCCTTTCCTGTAAATCATTTCTGAATATCACTAGCGTCTCTCTTAAAACCTCTGAATAAACATATATCCAAAACATTTACGTAGACACTTATTGCCTTTATTCTGTACACATACTGTCTTCCAAGATGAATTTATGGTCTTTAATACCTGCATACAGAATATTTGGGTTTTTTTTCTTTTTTCTCTTTTCCTGTTTATCTTCTTGAGTATGACTGAAGATGCATTTTATTTTTTTTGTTACTTTAATATTAATTTTGAGATTCTGCATGCTGCCTAGACCTTAATGATCTGTTGACAAAAACAAAAACTGTTTTCAGACTTAGTCTTCCTGTACATCAAAATCAAAGCAGGAAGATATCTCAGTAAACATCATGAAGATAGTTCTTTCTGAGAACATGAACTTTTTGCTTTTTCACACGTGTTGTTGATAGTGTGGTTTTATATGATGACATGACAAAGAGCTTGTGTTGGTATATCAGTAGTCTATCAGTAGTCTGCCTTGGGCTCTCTTGCTAAGTTTCACAGCCTACCAGGCCTGGTATATTTCTTACCCAAAAAAACCAAAAGCTACTTATTTATACCACCCCAAACCCTGACATTCCCCACATACCTATTGAAATTAACCATACCACTGTAATCTTGATGAATGCTGCGGCTCGTGAGTTATATTGATTGGCCTGGATTGGCTTTTTGATGGCTACATAGCGATCCACGGAAATGGCACAGAGATGCATGATGGATGCAGTAGAAAAAAGAACGTCAAGAAATAACCAGGCAGGACATAGAACAAGTGGGAGGGGCCACATAGTCTCTGAAAAAGCAAACAAAAACATATTCTCTTACAAAATGGCAATATTCCATTTGCAGTTTCTTTTTTTTTTTTTTTTAAAGATTTTATTTATTTGACAGAGAGTGAGACAGTGAGAGAGGGAACACAAGGAAGGGGAGTGGGAGAGGGAGAAGCAGGCTTCCCGCTGAGCAGGGAGCCCGATGCGGGGCTGGATCCCACAACCCTGGGATCATGACCTGAGCCGAAGGCATGCACCTAACAACTGAGCCACCCAGGCGCCCCAATTTGCAGTTTCTTTTTAAAGTGATACATATTTTTTAACTTTTTGCTATTCATCTGAAATTTTATGAGTTAACCTCCACAAGATGTCTAACTTAAGATAATGGAGTCAATAACATTAAATATATTTCTGTAAATGGTACCTTTTAAATACATTGTTTTGTATAATAATCACAACACCCTTTTTGAAAATCAGCAGCTTAGCATTTTTAGCATTCATTTGACTGCAGTTGCTCTTTTGTCTGTTTCTTTTGTGATCTTTTAAAAATTTCCACAGTGTTGCAAGTAGAACTTAACCTTGCTAGTCAAATAAAATTAATTTTTAAGCTGCTTTTGTATACAGAGAATATATTTTACCATATAGAGGAAGCAATATAATGTGGCAAAAGAGTATTAGAATGGGAGTCTCAGTGAAGCCTAGGCTTTGGTTCATTTCTAGCAATAACTAGCAGCATGATCTTTGTTTATAGCAAACTCTCATTTGGTGAAATAATTAAGTGAAATGAGTTGCGTTTTCTTTTTGACAGAAGTAGTTCTTGAATAAAGTTTGCAGAAGGAATGGTTTCAGATTATTCTGAAGAAAAATGGATTGTTATCCTTCCATGTTCCATCATTCACTCCAGGCACTGGGACTTAATGTTTTAAAAAGAAACTGTCAAGATTAAACATAGTACTTAATTTATATAACAAACTCTTATAAAAAGCATTTACGCGGGCGCCTGGGTGACTCAGTTGGTTAAGCGACTGTCTTCAGCTCAGGTCATGATCCTGGAGGCCCGGGATCGAGTCCCACATCGGGCTCCCTGCTGAGCAGGGAGTCTGCTTCTCCCTCTGACCCTCTTCCCTCTCGTGCTCTCTATCTCTCATTCTCTCTCTCTCAAATAAATAAATGAAATCTTTAAAAAAAAAAAGCATTTACGCTATACCTCATAAACTCTTAAGCGCTGGAGAAATACTGACTTTGAAAGATTTCAGGTTTTGGATATGATACTGAATATCCTACATAGCTTTCCAATAAATTTACTTAGACAAGGATCTATACACATATGGTTTGTACATTATATATTATACATAGACCCAGTATATATATATTTGTAGTTCCAAAGCACCTAAAATTTATTTTAGGGTCTGCCCTAGAATATTTCAGTTAGAATCCACTTTTTTTTTATTTTATTTTATTTATTTATTTGAGAGAAAGAATGAGAAGAGAGAGAGCATGAGAGGGGAGAGGGTCAGAGAAAGAAGCAGACTCTCCGCTGAGCAGGGAGCCAAACAGGACTCAATCCCGGGACTCCAGGATCATGACCTGAGCCGAAGACCGTCACTTAACCAACCAAGCCACCCAAGTGCCCAGAACCCACTTTTCTAACACACACACACACACACACACACACACACACACACAGATTTTAGACCTTGCTATAAAAAAGCAAATTACTTCTATGTAGAACAAATGTCATATATATGAGATTGTCTGAATCCTTTTTACAGTTTAGTTGTTGTATGTCCGCTGACAAAATATAAACTACTTTTCCTAGTTTTTGCATGATTATCTGACTTTGACAGATAATTGGGGTAATTGGTCTTGGAAGACCAAGATACCATTTTAGGATTTGGGAGCACTAAGAAACTCTTCAGTTGTGAACCATTTAAATTCAAGAAGCCTGGGGATGGAGAGAGGTTAGCATCCCACACCAAAAAAATAAATAAATAAAAGACTGTCATTTAGGGAAGGAGTTTTGAGATAGACTTGAATATGTTTTTTTCAAAAGTGTACAAATTAATGTTTGAGGAGCAGTGTTTTAAAAGACTGGGAAACATTGTGTCTTGGGTCTTAAAAGATGTACCTACATTTGTTCGCTGGTGTACGATAGGCACTCAGAATGCCTCATAGGAAGGAATTTATGGGAGACCTCTCAAAATAAGCAAATCAAGCATGGCAGAGAAATCTGTCTTGAGAGAGAACCTAATCAATTAGATTTTTCTCCCTCTTAGTCAGTTTTCAGATTCTCTGTTAATAAATAGAAAAGGACTTTGGACAGTGAAAGGCAGCAATGGACCTCAGCTAAGTAAACTGACAGTTCAAGTAGAGTGAAAATAATCACGTGATTGAGTTTTGCAGTGGAAACTACTTGAAATGATGCTACATTCTGATCTGTCTTGACGTTCTACATTTAAGACTGAGTAGAAGATAGAAAAATACTCAAATCTAGAGCTACAACAAGAGATATTGATCATAGTTTTAAACTTGCCTGTTTAGCTTTTCTAATTATGGGTTGTATGTTTTTAAATTAAGATCTGGAAAATTCTAGTCATAAATCTAGTAGCCATGAGCAGGAAGCCACAATAGCATGTAAAAAGTACAAGTCTTTGGAAATTAGACGATTTGACTCACATATTCCTAATTGTGGGCTAAAAGAGAAAGCTCTTTAGTGCTCCAATGAAGTCTTGTTAGGCTCACTTTCCAACAGAATGAATTTATTTTATAAACTCCAATTTTGGGGGGTGCGTGGGTGGCTTAGTCGGTTAAGTGTCTGCCTTTGTCTCAGGTCATGATCCTGGGATTCTGGGTTTGAGCCCTGCGTTGGGCTCCTCGCTCAGCGGGAGCCTGCTTCTCCCTCTCCCCACCCCTCACCCCCGCTTATGCTCTCTCTCACTACTTCTCTCTCTCTCGAATAAATAAAATCTTTAAAAAATTAAAATAAACTCCAATTTTGGTACATAAAGTGGATATTAAAATTAATGCAGATTGCTAGAATTTTATTATTTCAGTCAGTACTTAATTGCTAACATTAGTAATACTGAGGCATGGTAGAGAATTTTCTTTAAGGACACTGTGATAGGAGGTTTAGGATTAAGAGAGATGGATCTTTATTATTAACCTTTATAATTGAAACTTTCATGAAGGTACTAGTCCATAGGCTTTTTATGAAATGAACATGAAAGTAATATGACTGCATTAAATTAATAGAAATCTTTTATATAAAGCAAAAAGAAAAAAAGTCTTGTCTGCCTAAATAGATTCAGGTAATCTAAGAATTTATACAAATTAAAAACAGTTCTAGACATTCTCAGGTTATAAAGGGATTTTCCCTAGTCCAGATACTTTCATTTCTAAAATTGTCTTTTCAGTTAGTATTAATATGATAGGCTCAAGGTCAGAAAATTTCTTACTATTTAGAATAACTAAAAAAGGTTAAGTTGGTTTGGTGTGGGGTAGATTATTCCAAAACATTATATGTTATTTTTATTAGGAGTTTTAGTTCGTTTTAAGGATTTATAATTTAATTTGTTGTAATGTATTATGTCCAGCTCATTTCTTTCTTTTTTTTTTTTTTTTTAAAGATTTATTTATTTGAGAGAGTGAGAATGAGAGAGAGAGAGTACATGAGAGGGGGGAGGGTGACAGGGAGAAGCAGGCTCCCCGCCGAGCAGGGAGCCCGATGCGGGACTCGATCCCGGGACTCCAGGACCATGACCCGAGCCGAAGGCAGTCGCCTAACCAACCGAGCCACCCAGGCGCCCCTCCAGCTCATTTCCATAAGAACTTACTATACTATTTCAAATGGAGCAGTTATAGATTTATATAAAAAGAAAAGTATATGAGTCAATATAAGGGAAATAAGTTATCAGGTACTTGAACTAAATTAATTACTGGTATTCTGGGGCTCTAAACTTGTCTTTTTCATAAAAGCTAAGACAGAAGAAGGAAAAATTTTAAATTGTGTAGTATTTGTTATCTCACAAAAAGTGCACAAAATTTCTTGAAAAACCTACCTCTTCCCCCACCTGCTCCCAAATTAATCTTAAAGAGGAATTTAATTTCAATAAGGTTTGAATAATAGCACTTCTGTGGTTGCCTGAAATAATTACAGATTGGTAATTATAAGAGCAAAACAGGGACACCTGGGTGGCTCAGTCGGCTAAGCGTCTGCCTTCGGCTCAGGTCATGATCCCGGGGTCCTGGGATCGAGTCCCGCATCGGGCTCCTTGCTCAGCAGGGAGCCTGCTTCTCCCTCTGCTTGTGCTCTCTCTCTCTCTCTGACAAATGAATAAATAAAAAATCTTTAAAAAAAAAAAGAGCAAAACAAATCTTATGAGTTGTGGATTATAGATAGTTCATTATTTATCTAAAAATATTAATAGCAGAAATATTTTGTTGCTTAAAATGAAGACTTGCATGCTTCAAATACCACCGTACATAAGGGGTGGTAGAATTGCCATTCAGTTACATCAGTTTCTATTTGTCTCCAGACAAAGGTCAACAACTTCATAGGCATGGGCCTGCCTAGGTCTAATATCTTCCTCAGAAGAGATCTGGCGATCATCTCAAAGATTCGTACAAGTATTTTTTAAGACCCAAGTATTCTGTATCATTTAATATGAAATATAACTTTTAAAAAAATATTGGGTTCTGCCTTGTCCCTAGAGAAAACTCTGTGACTGTCTTGTTACGTAGAGTTATTTAAGATGTAAATGTTGGCTGTTTGTCAAATATGACGGTTTTGGTTGACATAATTTCTCATTTCATTTGAGAAAGCAGTGTGAAAGAGTAAGTTAAGACTGTGAATTCTGGAGTCTGTTCTCTGGGGTTCAAATCATGTCTCTGCCATTTATTTATTCCTCTGTCCTCTCCTGTAAAATGGGGATAATGATGATGATACCAATTTTACAGGATTGCTTTGAAGATTAAATGCAGTAATACATGTCAAGTGTTTAGAACAATGACTGGCATAGAGAAAGCACTCAGTAAATGTTAGTTCTTATCACTATTACTGTTTGACAGAAACTAGCCAACTAGCCTACCCGTTAAAACACTCCTACTTAGAAATGTTAAGTCATATCATCACTGTAAAATCAATGTTTGTCCTCTTGCCTGCTGTAGCAAGAGTGCATGTATCCAGTTGAACTTAAAGCTTTTTTTTAAAAGGCATGAGAATGTATTAAAATTTGTCATGAAAGTGTGCCTTTTACTCTCTCTATATATTTATAGGCATATATATATATATATATATATGAATAACAAACATAAATAACCTATATGCATTGCCATGCTTGGCTGTTTATTTATTTATTTTGCTTTCTTTTTAACCGGTATAAAAACCTGAGTTTTTTCACCAGAAACTCCATTTCTTGGTGAGATGGACTCATTTGATCTGAAACCTGCTTACTCTTTCGGAAAGTTTTTAGTTTGGAAAGCTGAGTTATATGATTAATTCAGAAAAATAATTAAAATTAATCTATAGATCTGAGATATAAGATATTTGCCTTTTGAGGATTTTAAATGACTGTTTTTAAAAGCTATCCCTAGAGGACTGTGCCTGAAGAGTTTACCAAGGTAAATAGTTCATGAGTATATTGGAATAGGACAGATCCTAAATAGCATAATATCCAAAAAGGACATGGTTCTCAAAGTACCCATATTTTATTCTCAGAAATTCTTATGTTTCTGTCTTTATCTTTCAGAAAAGAAAGACATAGATCAGTGCTTCAATTTTTATTATGAAGCTTCTCTTTTGTTTTTGTTGCCATTTTCCCACTACATTTGAACATATAAAATATTCTGGGATTAGATGTCTAATATGATAGTGTTTTAAATGTTTCAAGTGATTTAATAATTACAAAATTTTTTTCTTGGTTTTTTAAATTTCCGCTTTCCAAAAAGAAATGCCTTTAATTGCTTTTCTCCCTCATTTAAGAATTGGGTAGAGCAGCATTTCACTGCATAAATAACTGATTTTCTTTTTCTTTTACTGCTATATATCTGTTTCATCTCTGGTCAGACTCACATCTAAACTAAATCACATATTTAAGTATATAAACTCTTCTCATGCTCTGCTAATACTTGCCCGTTATTGGTGCTTGTAATGTGCTGGGCCCTACTTGACCATTTCACAAGATACCTGCAATGTAAGATTTAGCATATCCGTTTTACAGACTAGGTGATTGAACTGATGCGGTAAGTGACTTGCCTAAACCAACACAGGAGAACCAGGGTTCAGTGCCTGGGGTGTCTTGCTTCAGACCCCTCTCTTTCAGCCATTTCATGTTATACACCCTCTTCCGGCTGTATCACAGATACTGTTTCAACTTTAATTGTGAGACATGGATTAAAACTTAAGTTATAAATAAAACAATAATGACCAATGAATGACGAAACACTGTATTTTCTCCTTTACATTTTTAATCACTTATTGAGAAAAAGTTCAGAGAAGTTCTTTAAGTGTGAACATCCTTTCTTTTTTATATTGGCATATGATGTTCTATTTTCCTTTGCATCCTACTCAAGTATTTCTAAATGCCTTCTTAGTAGGCATTTTCAAGCCTTATGTTATAAGCTAACAACTTACGATCATGGATTTTGAGAGACTTACACACAAAACAGTCAAAACTAGACCCACAGAGCAAAGGTTAAGTCTAGTGCCCCCAGAGTGGAAGAAGTGGCAGAAAAATTGACATAGGCATCACAGTTCATTTGAGAGACCACGTTAGGCCAATCATCATAATCTTGATAAAATAGAAATTCTGTTAAAAAAAGGCAAACAATATTATATAATCAGATATTATATAAATCATTGGTTGAATAACATACTCCTCAGCATAAGTCAGTTTTAAAGTTTCACTGCTCTCCTTTTTTCAAAACTTAATTTTATTAGAACATTAACTAATGTAGTTTCTTTTGTTACTTTGATTAAATTTCCCTGAGATACTCATACCACTGAGTGGTAGTTAATTTTTTATGTTTACAGAATCAGGGACACTTTTGTTTGTACAGACTTCCGAAGTTTGGAAGATTATTCCTATAAAGAGAGAAAAATACACAAAATCTCCTGCCTTTAAAGTTATCAGAAATTCTTATAAATGCATTAATTTAGAAAGTCTTTGTATTTGTTAACATGTGAAGGGCTATAAAAAATCTTAGTATTTGAAGTCAGGTCCCAGTTTACAATATGTGCAGTTTCCAATTTATGAATGCATCTTTTTGAAGCTTTTTAGAGGGCAGAGCATGCATTTTCTCATACACTTTCTCAGAAATAGAATGATGTTTTTAATAATGAATTTAAAGCAATAAATTAAATAGTCTTTAAGTTCCCAGTTTAGTTTATTTTTTAAAAATTTAACCCTGCTGTAGAGCTTAATTACTAATAGTAAAAGTGTTTGGGACTATGAAAGATTTTATTTTATAATTAAAAATTAACAAGCATCTGAAAGAATGAAATGTAGTTAAAACATACATCATAATTATTTAGGACATAAATTGGAAGACATTCCATGTATTTTATGTTAAAATATGTTGGGTTTTCTGCTAACATTTATTGCCAAGAATATCTTGGGCCCCAAAAATTTAAATATAAGCTTGGTTGTCAGCTGCAGATATTACTAGTTTCCTGTGAACTACATGGAATTATCTCTTTTATCTGTTTTTGTGTTTTATCAGGTCACTTTAATACTGTGGAACTTAGCTTTTAAAGATTCTGTAAATATTTAGCTGATAATTTGAGTATCTACCACAGTAATTTGCATATAAGTAGATGTTTGATATGGACTCAGTTCTGTGTAACTCATTCAGTCTCATTTATTCAAAATAATGTATCAGTTAAATTTTATGGTAGTATAAGATGAACATTGTAACATTTTCTGTATGTCTATCAAAAGCATAATTTAAAGAGTAATTTTAGGGGCGCCTGGGTGGCTCAGTCATTAAGTGTCTGCCTTCGGCTCAGGTCATGATCCCAGGGTCCTGGGATTGAACCCCGCATCGGGCTCCCTGCTCAGCGGGAAGCCTGCTTCTCCCTCTCCCACTCCCTCTGCTTGTGTTCCCTCTCTTGCTGTGTCTCTCTGTCAAATAAATAAAATCTTTAAAAAAAAATAGTGATTTTACAGTTAAATTACTACTGTAATTACTACTAAATTACTACTGTGTGTGGAGATAAGAGCCTTGAATCAAATATCTGTAGTCTTTACCAAATATACATAAATGTTTCTACATGATCCTCATTTACTTGATTTCTTTTAAACTGTATTTGGAATTAAGATCCTTTAGGTTCTCCTTTAGACTAAGATTCCTTAATTACTTTCCAGGGTTACATGTTGTACTAAAATACTCAAAAGGTTACCAATTTCTAAAAGAAGGGGATAGATAGATATTATTGATTAGAGAGTCCATTAAAGCAGTAGAACTTTATTACTGCTTGCCCTGCATAGAATTTAAAGCCTCGGTTAGATATTAATTTAGAATGGAAAGTTTCAGCCTGTCACCATCTGATATTTGGGGGATCAAATACTTAATATTAGCTATCTTTCTATAATTACTTAAAAATGTAACATTTAAACCTAAACATAATAGTTTAAATTGGAGTTTTTATCCCCCTTCTAATACATATTCTAGTTAAACTTTACTTCTATAACCTAAAATATTTTTATCCTCACCATATAAACATAATATCAAGAAGCCCTATCTGCTGCAAATAATCATTTTTCTTAAGCAGTTAATGAGTGGAATATCAATTTATGCCAAGCACTGAATAAAGTAAGTATCCTCTTAATGCTGATTCTTAGAAGCCCTAATAACTTATCAGCAGAATTATTTGTATTTACCCAAATTCTGTAACTAGAGATGATACACACAAATGAAAACTATTTCATTTTGATATTATCTTTTTTATTATAACAAACTAATATTTTAATATCAAGCTACATTATTATTATCAGGTTTTGGTCACCTGTTTTAATAGTTTATTTTTAATAAATTTTTAATATTTAATTTTATTTTAAGTCAGATTTTTCTTACATGTATCAAGGACATGGATGGTTAGAAATCATAAAAATTAAACAGATGAATCATTTCTTAGGACACTGTGAGCCAGACCATTTCCTTTGGCAACTAAATATAGTATTTTCTTAACATTACACATGTGTAAGAATTATGTTTAAGGCTAAAGTACACAAAGGATAAAGAAATATAACAAGAATTTTTAGAACAATTCCAATTTTAAATTGGTGTTTAGTGATTCAAATTGGAATTGAGTGATTCGAAGATTTTATCATTAATAAATAACCCAGCACATAACTGTCACAGAAGTATCCTAGCTGTTGCTTTGTCAAGGGAAAAAAGTGTTTAGAATGGGAAAGTTAAAGTATAGGTCTGTTCTTCACTATAATTTTTAGGTGATAAATGCAGAATCTATGAATATTGCTAACTTGGATGGCTTTTATTAGATGGCTGGGGAAGGAGTAGAATTGTTTCTAAGAAATTATTTTTTGCTCTTTAAGACTTTATCAACCGTAGAAAATGATGGAAATGAGGGACTGTTTACTCACTGTATCTTTAAATGGTCCAAGTCCATCTTTAAAGACTGAATATCCATTTCTCTAATAGTATATCATAGTTCTGTGGTTTGATGCCAGGAACAAAGTGAAATACTTACCAAACATTATTGTCAAGAGGGCAGTCGGCATCACAAACAATCCAACCAGCAAATCAGCCACTGCCAGAGACATGAGAAAATAATTGGTAGCATACTGCAGCTTTTTCTCCAGTGAAACAGCCAGAATAACCAGGATGTTCCCACCAATTGTGGGTATTATCACCATGAGTATCAGAAGAGCTGCCCAGCGTGGTTTATTTCCCTGTTGCTCACCAATCTGTTTCATTTCCTCTGGTATCGATTCTGTCTGTAATCCAGACCAGTTAGCAAAGATTAAGTGATGAAAGGAGTTCTGCAAAATGTGCTCAGGAATTGTGCTCTGTTCTGATATTTTATAAGAGAAAGCCATTCGCTATTTTTGTGTAATGTGATCCAGTTCTGGACAATGGTCAGCATGGTCAGTAGCTAAGCTGGTCATCTGCTTTTTAAAGGCATTGTACCCAGGCCAAACACTCAAAGCCAAAGTTGACTCCTTCCTTTAAAAAAATTTTTCGGGTTCTCGAAAATGAGAGTGTACAAGCTTCTGTCCATTTCTGAAGGTAACGCCCAAGGGTTTAGTCTTCTGCAGAGGCTCGGGTTTTGGAAGGCTTAGTGAAAGAAACTGATAGCTGTGAAAGAAAAACTGTTCATTAGTTTCTCTCTCCTTCTCTCTCTCTGCTGTAGCAGTAGACTCGTGTTTGAATTTGAATGCCAGTGAGTTCCAGAGAGTTCCTCCTAGATATAAAATATGTAGATTGCATTATTTTGTTATTTTCAAAAAGAAAAAACTCTTAAACTTTGTAGCCCTTCCCATCTCAGTAGGTCTCTTACGCATTTGTGACAATGCAGCCTATTTCCACAATCATGTTCCTTATATGCTTCAGGTTACGAAACAGGAGATACATTAATTTTTTCAGTGGTTATTTAAAAAAAAAAAGGTAGATGTTTCCTGACCCTTGAATGTCTTTTTACCTTTACCTTAGAATATGTACAGAAGAATAGAAACATCTCAAAGCACTAAGTAGTTCTGAATAGAACTTTTTGGTACACACTGGTTACCCACCTAGAAATTCTTCAAGCCCACCTAAGGTCCAAATAAATGATTTACCAGCTAGGAATCCTTATTTGTAATTGGGTTTTATCTGATCAGGTTTATCTTAATACTGATATAATTGCCGTTTTTATGCAACATTTTAAAACTCCTTTAGTTTGAGAGAAGGAAAAAATAGGTATTAGTAGGATCCAAATAATTGTTTTTAATAATGTCATCTTCCACAGGAAGCCTATTACTGCCACAAATATTTTCCAAATTTATCACTTTATGCCAAATTTGAAACAGTTCTTTTTTTGTTTTAAGTAGTCATTTTTTTTTCCTTAATCTCCCGTTTCCTCGGGAAGGAGGATAAGCTAAGAGGAAGGTTAAACCATTTATTCATAAAATCTGTAAATCCCAGGGCACCTGGGTGGCTCAGTCGGTTAAGCGTCTGCCTTCGGTTCAGGTCATGATGCCAGGGTCCTGGGATTGAGCCCTGAGTCAGGGCCGCCTGCTCAGCAGGGAGCCTGCTTCTCCCTCTTCTCCCCACTTGTGCTCTTTCTCTCTTCCTTTCAAAAAAATAAATAAAATTTATAAATCCTATATTAAATACCTCTCCTGTAATGGTAAAATTTTCATTTTGGTTTTTAAGCCACTGAATAGAAATGAAAGATATGGTAGCAGTTTTTTTGAAGAAAGGAAAAACATCTTTAATTCTATATTTATTTGTAAAATACTTACCTTTTCTTGTTAATCTCCCAAGCATGTCATCTGATCTGCTCAGTAGACCTGCTTGCTGCTCTGACTGAAGTCCTCCCATTGACTTACTCAGAGCCTCCGGCACTGGCGCTTGAAAGCAGTGGAACAAATGTGTTGTATAGCTGTAAGCATGCCAAGGAGGTTATTTCCTCTTTGATACATTCATTTTTAGAAAGTAGCAGCATTCATTATAATTCATAAAACTACCAGTTAAGTATGTTGAACCAGTTCATGACCCTATTCATGTTGTATTCTGAAGAGCTCTCTTTGATATTTGAGGGACTGAAATAAACTGTCATTTTAGCTTAAGATAGTTTTGTTTTGGATTAACACTGAGCTGTTTTTCCCATTAAAAAAAAAAATAAGATCTGGTCTAGAGATTCTAGAGCTTTCATTCTGTGAAGAGTGTGCCCTGTGAGCCTTACAGTGGATTTCCAGAGTTCTAGTTTCAGAACAAGATTCTTACTCAGCTTTTACATGTTTGCTGTGGAAGACAATTAATTCTCTCTGATTGCAACCTTATATAGAAGAGCACAGAAAGGTCTGAATTCTAATGTGTATGCACAGGTTTTAGCAGAAACTTTCATTGCTCGTTTTTAAACAGGTGGCTTTGGGGGGATTGGTTCATTGGCAGTTTTTTTTTTTTTTCACAGATATATTGGAGAAAGTATACAGTATGTAATGAAAATATATTTCTGCCTTATTTCAGAAAATTGGTGTAAAAAATTTAACAGCTCTGCTATCTAAGTTTTTTCTAGACTGTAAGACTAGCTTAGCATTAGAACTTCAGCATTCTCAAAGTTTCCTTTTTAAAAGATCATCATAGATCACTCATTTTTAAAGTATTTAATTCTAGGTCAGCAATAACATTTGTGCCCTTTTTCTGTTTCAAATTTATATTCCTTAGCTTATGTGAAAGTTACTGGAAAATATTTGGTTCATTTCAGTTCTATTGAGCACTTCAGATATCATTCAGTATTTGCTGCTTTTTTTTTTAACTCAGAATTCAGTATTTTAGAAAAAATATTTGCTGTAAATTTTGGATGAAAACATAATACTCAAGAGCGATCAGATGGATTTTAATGTGCCAGGATTCTCTTCAGGAATATGGAAATATTCTGAAATACTGCTTTGTTGTGAATCACAATTTAGCACCTGTACTTATGCAGGTAGATAGGAGTCTGCAAAACAAATGTCAGATTGAAAGTAGTACCAGTATATTCAATAAATATATGGATTTGTGTTTATAGATTTAAAAAAATTTAAATATTCATGGAATATATTATAAAAATGCCAGCCATTATTACTATTATAAACTTTGCCAATACTGACCCTCTCTGCCACATTCACTTTTCTTTTTTTAAGATTTTATTTATTTATTTGAGAGAGAGAGGGAGCAAGCACGAGAAGGGGGAGGGACAGAGGGAGAGTGAGAAGCAGGCTCCCACTGACAAGGAGCCCAATGCGGGGCTCCATCCCAGGACCTCAAGATCATGACCTGAGCCGAAGGCAGACATTTAACTGACTGAGCCACCCAGGCGCCCCTCACTTACTTTTTTCTGTAGTTAAAATTGGTGGTTGGATTATTTTTGTTTTTCTATTTTTAAATTAGTTTAATGGTTAAGGAACACATCTAGTTAAAACTACTTATTTGGCAACTTTGTGCTGTGACTGGGTGGTAGACATTGGGGAGGGTATGTGCTATGGTAAGCACTGTGTATTGTATAAGACTGATGAATCACAGACCTGTACCCCTGAAACAGATAACACATTATATGTTAATTTTTAAAAAAAAATTTAAAAAGCATAGCTGAGAATCAAAAAGAAAGCAAAATAATAATAAATATATGTAAGAGTAGACAAATCTTTCAGTTGGCAAATAACTAAACTATGCTCTGAAAACCTCATGCACGTTAGATGGAAGGCAGCCTGTAAGTCCCCACTCCAAATCTCTTTACGCTCACTCATAGAAACATGTCTTTCTCCCCTCTTTAATAAAAATACCATTTGCACATGGTGGTAAATCTAAATCGTACAAAAGAATGTTTAGTGATAAATTCACTTTGAGACGATTTTAACAAACACATTTCCCTGTTCACTTCAGAGCAGATAACAAATTAACAGGTGGACAAGCACTTTGATAATAGCAAACAGGGTGCACAGAAGAAACGGGAGGTAAAAAGTATAGACATGTAGGTTTACTCAGAATAGAGGCTTGTAGCTCTCCTATAACCCAGGCCTTCACGATTTTATGTGGTATAATAATTGATACCAGAGTGATGACTTCCACATATTTAAGAAAAGAGTAAATAATTTTTATTCGGCTCTGTTTTGGATGGCAGGAATGCATGAAATGCATTTTTAAAAAGATTGCCATCCAAAATGATAAATATATAAAAATATGATTCTTAATAGTAGAATTAAATTTCAAATATCTGGAAACTTCATTTGTGTGAAATACCTCATTTACCAAGAACTCCAGATAAATTCTTACTAAAGTAGCTTAAAGTTCAGACTCAGACTCTAATCTGACCATAACCAAAAAACTTAATTCATGCATTTTTCCCAAAATAATGAATTTTGTCCCTGATGCCTTTTTAATTTATTAGACAGATTCTATCTTTGACTTAAAAGGGCAGTCTAATTTATAGGTCTAAGAAGACAAATATCAGCCAAGAACATTTTTTACCTCTCAGTCATAATTATCTATCAAACACTAGCCATTAAGGAATTTTTGGCAATATAGGGATTGTGTCCAGTACACATTCATTTGTGAAGTATTCATTGAGTTCATTTGCTTGTGGCAATATAGGGATGAACAAGATAAACATTTTCTGCCCTTGTGTAATTTATCTCATGGGTGGATACAAGCAAGTATATTGATCATTATAATACAGACATGGTAGCTAAAACTAGCTCACTTTAACAGGTCCCACAGCTCAACTCAAATATTTTTTGGCTTTTTTTTTTTCTTTCATTCCTTTCTTACTCATTTTCTTTGACGATATCAGTGAAAGAGCTAAAATTCTAAAAATAGCTCTTCCAGATTTAATCTGTTCTTAGACTCTACTCACTCTCCCCTGATGACTGATTTTACCTCTATTTTAATGAAAGATTTAAACCAATCTGAAAGTGCTGTCACCTTTTATCTTCTCAAAATGTCTTTCTTTTCATCCATCCTATCCTTTGGGATCACGTTGACATCACTCTTTTCCACAACTTCTAGTTCTTGATCCCAACTCTTTATTCTTGATCCCAACTCTTTATTACATTCTTTGCAATTTTGCTGAATAAGGTATCTTTTTCACACATAGAATCCATGCCTTGAATATTCAGTTCCTCAGTTCTAACTTTTTTTTTTTAAGATTTTATTTATTTATTTGACAGAGAGAGACACAGTGAGAGAGGGAACACAAGCAGGGGGAGAGGGAGAAGCAGGCTTCCCACAGAGCAGGGAGCCCGATGCGGGGCTCGATCCCAGGACCCTGGTCTCGTGACCTGAGCCCAAGGCAGACACTCAATGACTGAGCCACCCAGGCACCCCAGTTCTAACTTCTTTCTTGCAGACATGCTCAGGTTTCTAGTTAATGAAAACTAAACATTTCGTTATCCCTTGAGTCTCTTTCCTTCATCATCAAACTTCTTTAAGGAATTGCCTGTTTCTCTTCTCATTATAATCCTTATAATCAGATTTTTATCTCCAACATTCTACTAAAACAACTCTTAGAAAGTCCGTTTAAAACCAGTTACAGTTTGTGTGTAATATTCAGCACTGTTGGCTAAACACTTCTTTTTAAAGCTTGTATCTTTTCCTTCCTTCAGAGACATCCCATCCTGGTTCTTTGTCTTTCTTAAAGAATCTTTTCTAACTCTTGTTCTGCCCGCTTAATA